TATATCTTCTTTTTTATAACACGACGGGTGCCACACGTGGAGCAGGATCTGCTTACCCTTGCGGAACACATGAGATCAACCCCAGTTTTTGTTTGTATATTCTTGTTGCTCAGTCTTTAGTTTTAAATGTTGTGTTTTGTGTACTGTTGTTTGTCTGTTTGTCTTTTATTTTTTAGCCATGGCGTTGTCAGTTTATTTTTGACTTATGAGTTTGAATGTCCCTTTGGTATCTTTTGCATCTCTTCTGTAGCATGTTGTAGTAATGGTGATTTACACAAGACGCGTTGTAACCACTGTCTTGGTATCGAGTGTCAACAGGTGATGTGGAAAAACCTTCAATTATTCTCTGAAAAGTTGGTTTTTAATTTAGATAAATTTTGTATCTATAGTATACATTTAAACCAAATGATGGTTCATTTTATTTATCAAAAATAAAATTCAGTCAATTTCGTTTGTTTCTTTCTCCATGTCTCTCGTTAACCGAATGGCCATATCTGCAGCTAGGATTAAGGAAAAGTAAAGGCGTAATACATAAATAAACAAAATGTTTATACTCTCACCTCTTAATCCTTCCTTTTCTAAATACATAATGGTATACAACTAACCAATCATCAACGATATTTGATTATTTCAGGTTCGCATCACTTTCAGAGTATCATGGCGTCGTGATTTCAGTACGCATACTCAATGTGATGCAAGTACAAAAGACAGCCATGACCTTATTGGAGATGGTACAGGAGACATGGTATGCCTGGATGGCTGTGGGTTTTCCACAGCAAAGATAGGTACTATGGAATTCTACTGTACAGATTTCAGTGAAGACGAAAATTGGACGTCTGGAGAAAATACGCTTACATATACTTTTAGGGAATCTAGTGATCAATGGTACCAGATTGGGTATGTTTATTTTGCAAAAAACCTAACCATGAGTGCAAATTACACACCGTTCCTCCCACTCTTGAAAATAGTTATTTCAAAAAATCGTATTTTACTTTCTATACGAGATTAATGTTTTCCATTTCACTATCTACCAAGTCTATGTTGTAGCATCGCTCCTGATTGATCAATACGAATCCACTCGTCACCTGAATAGCTCTTTACAGCAATAAAACTTCTTATTGTGTAACATAATAAAAAACATGGAGTCATTTAAAAAAAATTCCATTTGCTACGATAACTGCCATCATGTCAGGATGAGTTAGTTATATCATAAATATATTACTTAGTATTATATACTACCTCACCCTCAATCAAAATTACCCTGCAGATTCGAAATATGGATTATCGCATGTATGACCAGCTCTTAATTCATACAAGTTGGGAATAAAGTCAACATAGAATACCAAAAGATCTGACGCACATAGCCTAGGCATACAAGTATTAATAGCTGTATGTTTGTATTGCAATAGCGCTTGATTGTCCTGTAACATTATTACGTCGATGTTAATAACTTACTTACAATTTCAGTGAACTCTGTCTGGTTAATTCCATTTTGGTGAAGATATCCGGTGTTAGGATGTTCGAATTTTAATTATATTTGGTAGGAGGCTAAATTCAAGACTCTGTCTAGGCTGGAATTTAGAGAAAATGGTGACTATGTATGCTCTTTGTTGATCTTTGTGGTCGTTGGAGATATTCTATATAAGTGGAAAATTTAAACTTTTTTTTCAGTTTATGCGTGTACATTCTGCTGTGTGTAACAATTATTTTGCCATTATTATTTGACTATCTCCAGAATATGAACTTAAACAATACAGAAGTCTCATAAGAATATTATACAGTTTAAAAAGAGATAAAAATATTCGCAAAAATTTATTTTGATTTAGTGAACCCTTTTAGAACGATTTTTTTTTGCGAACGCCATTGCATCTAACGTTTCTAATTGGCAAAGGATAATATTAGACTATTCTAACAGAGTGCTACGCAATTTATGCTGACGTCAGTTGAATTTCTGAACAGAGGACTTAGAGAGTATTATTTTGTGCCTTTAATGGTATAATGCAATAACCATGTCATAAAAAAAAACCTCTGCTAAAATTTCATTAAATTTTATGAAGGTTTGACAAATTAATTAATGTGTTACCATCTTTAACCCCGGACTGAATGTATTTGTAAAAATGTCAATTTATCAGTAAAATACGGGAAAATAAAAATAAATATTTCAAAATTTTGCTCTGGATACTGTTTTTTGGTCTTAAAAAAGAATCTGTCCAAATTTCCTTAAATTCCATGAAGGTTTGACAAAGTTATTGATGACTGAAACACTTTAACCTCAGATGAAATCTGAGTGATAACTGTAAAATCAAAAAGTTGATAGCTCTGAGGTGGAAAAAAATGCACTAAAGAATAACTTGAATTACCATGAAAGCAGACCACACCAACCCAGTCTGCTCTGTGCCATTATTGCATACGACGTATTTTTTCTACCAAAATAAAATACTTTAATTAATACTCATGTCTCCACCAAAACAGACTAAACCAAAAAAATAAAAATCTACAAATACTGTTGATTCAAATTAAATTTTCTGTATTTCCATACATGCGTCTCTGTATGGTCAACTTGGTGCAAGCAATTATATCAGGAATTGTTTTTCTGTCAAAGGTAGGTAGTTCACTTTGGGTATTCAGACTTCCTTCGCATAAAAAACCCATTATAAACATATTTTGAAAAGTGCTAAATATATCAAAGGCAGATTTTGAAAGTTGGCTGGTGTTTACAACTCATAAATTAAATCATAGAAAACAATCAGTTTTAAACAGTGTGGTTATTCACTAAATGTATTGATAAAAGGTGACTCCATTTTTGTACATACTTTTACAGTAGTCATCCTTAATTTCTTAATATTTCGTTTATAAGTTTATCATACATGTATGATTTTGTATTTCATTTTAATACGCACGCATGCCACACGTTACTTTGGCGGATAGTTCAACAATGTTATGCAAAGCTCTATTCTTACGGTATGAAATTAAAGGATAAATTTTCAACCAATTAAAATCGAAAACAGTACATTTATATAGTTCCTTATAAACTACGACATTTCTCACAAGTATTTATTTATTTTTTAGTTCCACACATGCAAAAATAAAATCTTCGCCGATGAAACATTTCAAACCTTTTTACACCAATATAGCCGGGTAAAATGGCGTTCCGGCTAAATGGAAATCAAGAAGGAATATTTCGCTCCTTAAACTTTTATTTTTAGCAGTCCGGCAAGACCGAACAACAAACTCCAAACCAAATGTAAAGTAACATACAAACAATAACAATATATATAAGCACAAGCAATTAAAGGATTAAGAAGATTAACATATGCCAAATAGAAATAACAATAGATTAGAAGAGTAATTAATGTCCGACACGTATGAGTAAATTATTGTCTAAACTGTTACAGAGAATAAATAATTAAATGAATAGAGTAGTGAATTTAAGTCCTTTGTCCAAGATTATGACACATAATCCGTGTAAAACACTTATGCCTAAATTTACGACAAAGTTCAGAATAATATAATAAACCTAAATATACATTAAAACAATTGAATAAATAAAATGTTGTTTAAAACTATTTTCACACTGCACAGTCCAAATAGTCCGGTCATACCAACATGCCTTCACTGAATTCATTTGAATTTCGTGGTGGCCATGATAGTACATTGCATAGTACATCTTTATTCACGTGCACACATGATACGATCTTTCGGGGACAATTTGCTCGTTTATGACACGTCATTTCTGAATGACCAAACGCTTAGCTACTTTATTTTCGTTTTATAGCATGAAAAAATAAAAGAGGAATGTGCAACCCATCATAAATTTGAAATGGATCAGTATTATGAGATCCTTTAGTTATTATAAGTAACTACGACATTGTCAGGATAATAACCTAGCGTCAATATGAAAGAAATTAAAGTGGTTCATACATTCATCCGTATAAAAGCGGCACATGTATTTTATTTTATCCTTATATTTTTCATAGTGCGGTACAAGTGCTGCATGCATAAAGAATATTACTTAACACAAATTATAAGTATAATATTTCGACCCCACTATTTGAAATTCACAAAATACTTATTTAATTATTTCGACCAAAAATCATTGTTTTTTACGTTCGTAGTAACGTAGTACATTCCATTGTCGGTCACCTGTGTCATGATTCGCGTGCACACTACAATTGTTGTTGTATTTAAATCTTTCGGCCAATGAAATGAGACGTTACAAGTTGTTTGTTTGTGATACGCCAGAATGTTATCAATGAATTATCAATCGCTAAACTTGACTGTACCTATTCAAAAACGTAAATGCAAATTTCACAAGGCTTGATCCAAATAGCCTTTTTACTGTCTAATAACTTGCAAGTACGAAAAAGACAGGAAAGAAGTATAATATTTTGTCTATATGTTTTGTGTTTGCACACTTTTTAAAGTTGATCATGCATTCGTTCTAAAATAAAATTTTGACCAAATAAAAGTTAAAAGATGACATAATTGGACAACCGCAATTGTTAAATCGCTTTGACGTCCGAAAAAAAGATAATAATCAACACATCCATTGTAACTTTTAAAGCCAGTTAAATCCTTTTTTGCTGAAAGAACGTCCGATATCATAAAAATTCATTATCAAAACATAACAAAAACACAAGTAAAGAACGTTTAAGTATTCAATATAAATCAAAACACAAAGGTTATTCCTGATTAGTTTTCCGAATTATTTTATTTAGGCGTTGAGACCCTTTGGTGACCCCACAGTTTAAATGTCTATAATAAATACGTCGTGAGTTGTGGGCGTTACAGACGAACGTTCAACTTATCTGACCCAGTCAATGGGATATTTTAGCGCGCCAATCAATGGTCTCGGCTACACTGTTTTGCACATGATTCTATTATAGATTCATAAGTAATGATTTTTTTTTTACACTTTTGAAAATAATCACATTGTCGTGTAAGTTAACCAGCAGAAACAATGATCATAATAATTAATTTTTATTAAACTTATGCAGTCAGTGATCCTGACAATGACGACATCAGATGCAGATGGGCAATTTCAAATCAAAACGAATGCGGAGGCATTTGCTACTCTTTCAGCGGAGCAGAAATGCATGAGGTAATATTTATTTTGTTGAAAACTCGTGCAATACATTTAAGCGACAGTTATTTTTAATTGTTTTTTCAAAATCGAAACGTGCTTTTATTCATTATGTAAAAAAAACTTGAATTTTTAGAATATGAATAAAAGATAAGAACTTTATAAAATACAAAGAATTAGGAATAATAAATTGTTTTTAAACGTCTTTTATCAAAATACCATCTTTGATTGCAAAACGTTGTGCTCCTCCTCCTTCTAGTTTATATAGCTTACTTGCAAGCAGCAATTTTCTTTCAAGAAATTTCTGATAGGAGACATAAACCCTGTGTATATATCAACTGGGAGATAAAATTTATAGAGTCCAATTAAAGTTACCTTTGGGATAAAACATCGAAAATAGACATTTAAAAAATTTGATGACATCTCTTAATGATAAAGTTGTCAACCGATCTAACGGCCAATTTATATGTGGATGTCAATACATCAGACATTACTTATTTTACGTCAAAAAATAAATCCTTCAAGTTTCCGGTTCACAGTATCGTTTAACTAATGTTAAATAAATGAAATCAACATAGTCACAATGCAGTAAGATGACATAATCTATACGGTGGAACGTAAAGTTAAAAGGAGAATACGAAAAGACCTTTAGAATACTTAGAGTATCTACAACTTATTGATACCAACCCTAGAGTAGGTAGATTGACAGTCACTCTGAAACGCATTTTTGGATGTTTATAGAATTAATGTGTGTATTTCAAAAGAAGTTTCGTGCAGCTTTAAGCTCACAGGCAATGTATCATTTTTTGCAAGGACACTTATGTACTTGGGGTATCGAGTAATAAAGGGAAAGATATGCAGTTCCTTCATTTCTGGTTGAAATTCTACAGGAACATAAAACCGACAAATTATCTAGGATTTCCTTTTTATGAAGTGTCATTGAATACATATCTGGTTTTTACTATCTCCTTATCAAGCAGTACACACAATCATTTGATAATGTATAGGGCTTTGTCTGCAGGGAAGACAACATGGAAATCATACACGTGTCTTACAAATTTTAGGTTTCTGAAGATAGATATATGTATCATAATGGATTTAGTTTCATGTTCGTTCGGCACTTTTGCTAATATATTTTGTAGAGAACTGTTGTTGAACAATGTTTAAGTCACCAATCATATGGTAGCCATAATTGTTGTATTTCAGAGAGAATGTACGGTATCATATTCAGCAACACAAGCTGGTTGGTACGGTGTTGCAATACAAATAGAAGATTTTATCTCTACCGGATCTATGGAAGCACTCAGTAGTGTGCCATTACAATTTTTAGTCGTGGTTTTTAGGTCAAATACAACATGTGCCAGTAAGCCAACTTTTGTTGAGCCAACACGTATAGAAGGATCTTGCATTGGAATACCTTTTAACACTACGTATTTTGAACCAATTATTAGTAATAGTGGTAGCCAAACTATCAGGTAGGGAAATTAAAAAAAATTATGAGTTCGAAATTTACTTATTATGTTAAAAGGGACACATCCAAGCTTAACCATCTTCATTACCTTACAACACAAGTCAGCTTCAGCGATACTCAATTTGGGTGCAGGATTGATTCCCGGTCGAGTCGAAGTAAATTGATAGTTGTTACTTCTGAGCCTAGATCGACTGTGTTTAGGAGTAAGGACAAAGACTGGTCGGCTTGGATTCAGAATGATGTTTTCCAATTTGTGTAATTTTTCGTGATGACTGTCACCTTGAGAATTAGCAAGCCCAAAATCCGACTCATTTTGTCAGTCTGGTACAAGGCAGGGTCCATATCTAAATCAAATTTACATATTCTTCGTTCCGAATATGCATGTTAAACAGCCATCCATCCATTCTTCTTTACTGCATCATTAAAATATTTCGCAAATGTGATGCAAAACATTTGAAATTAAATTTTTTACTGATGTTATAGTTGATTTTGCGTGAACAGAGGTTTTTTGTTTGTCAAACAGTATCAGAGAAATTCAAACTGCTTCACCACAAGGAATGGTGAAATCTGAACTAGATGTGTATGCCAATAGGGAATGGTATGTCAATATATCATGGACCCCAGATACTGGACAGGCTGGACCTCACATATTTTGTTATACAGCTTTAGATAGCAACGGGTAAGTTTATGATTTGTATGTATGTTAAATATTAAAGACAATATCAACAAATAAAATTGATTTAATAAAAAGATAGATATTATTACGTTTCTAGCATATCAATAAATGATGTTGAACTACCACACTTTCCCAAACAAGAACTTCCTTGTAACTTTTTCTATTGTGAATATCATATCATGTTTATAAGCAAATGCTATATAATTACAAGTATTTTGTTGATTCATTTACCATATTTGTTTTGTGTGTCTCCTTTTAATATTTCCTTTTGGAAAGTTAATTTGTCAATCAGTTGTGACATCTAATTTTCCCGTAAAAACATTGCAAGGAAGATGTACAGAAATACTCTCCAACTACTTATTTATCTATTAGATCATTTCCCTACACAACCAATGAGTTGGCATATTGACAAACATTTTAAACAGAAGGGCTGATGAGTTTTTATCCGAATATAATAAAAACGTATACAGTAACACATACAACTAGATTTGCAATTTCAAGCAATATCGGATGGCACCTTAGTCCACCGATTGTCACTAAACGGCAGACATTTTGTAAATTCAAAAGTCAGATCGCGCATCAACACATGCCAGATAACATTTATATTAAGTTTCATTAAGTTTGGACCATTTTGAAAATTTTAACTGTTTTCATGGTAACGGCAGCCATTTTGAAAATTCCAACGTCAAACAGTATCTCTACACATGCCAGTTGTCATTTTTGTAAAGTACCATTTTAAAAAATCTCAATGACAGATGCCAAATTGAGACATGACATATAACATTTCAGTAAAGTTTCACTGGGTTTGCCGTACCATATTCTGTAAGAAAATACTACTTTAATGTTTTCCCGTAGGGGCCAATGTCATGCCATTCCCCAGTTTTTATCGCAATGAGCCCTTTTTTGGAAGTTCTAAATACTGTATTTCCATCTAGGCATAACAGGCAACTTTCCATAAAGATACGTTAGGTCGAGTCTCAAAATAAAAGATTTAGAATTTTCAAAATTTATTCACATTTTTTCTATTTCTATGGAAACAGTGGTTATCTTGCACATTCCGAAGTCAAGTGCACAACTTTACTTGGTGGTTTACAGTATGGTAAATTACCTCTATTAACTTTGGTCCATTCATATCATAGAACTAGCCCGGACAATAAGTGTGGAAGAAAAATAAATATGTGAAGAAGAAAAAAAAAAGAACAATAACAAGATGTCACCAGAATCATAACAAAGCATGCAGCATGCAAAAAATAAACACATATAACACATATGAAGTACTAAGACAGTCAAAGATGATAATTTGTAAAAATTTCGAACTTAATCTGGCAAGTACTAATATAAAGTAAAATTATCTATATTTTGTTGTTGTAATTACTATAAAGTAAAAAGAATTAGCATAAAATGTATGTAACAGCTTCGGAGAGCTCTTGGTCTGAGTAGCACAAGGAATTTAAGGCAGTACACTGCATAACTATTAAAAAGTCATGTAAATATAATTTTGCACACATTTCAAAAATATGAATCATTTTATTTATGGTAGATTGGATGTCTTATTCCATCTAGGATTGTAAAATAGCAGAAAACAATCAGTCTAAAACTTTAATGAAACATGCAAAGTTTTACAAAAGAAAGCAATTAATTTTTAGACTTTTTTCTAAATGAAGAAAATTGTGTATTTTATTTTATTAGAGTTATATTGGGTAATCCAGAAGGGTAACATTAGGGAACCAAAATTACACCCCTATTTTGACTTACATTGATTTAATTAACAGACATAAATTTCCATGCAGTTTTTATACGCCCGTTTACGGGACGTATTATGGTATACCGTTGTCCGTCTGTCCGTCCGTCCGTCTGTCCGTCCGTCTGTCCGTCCGTCTGTCCGTCCGTCTGTCCGTCGTCAACATGTCGGACATTAACTCAAAAATGCTTCAACCAATTTGCATAAAACTTTGGTGAATTGTTTATATCTGTTGACATGAGCTCCCTTTCGTTTTTTATAAAGTTTAGATTTTACGTTTCTGAGTTATGGGGTTTTATTTATTAAAAAAAGGGGGATTTTCCAGTTTTCGGACAATAAGTCAAGAATGCTTTCACCAACTTGCAAGAAATTGTGGTGAATTGTTTATATCTATTGACATGAGTTCCCTTTCGATTTTTATAAATTTTAGATTTTACGTTTCCGAGTTACAGGGTTTATTCATAAAAAAAGGGGGGATTTTCCAGTTTTCGGACAAAAACTCAAAAATGCTTTCAGCAATTCTTATGAAACTTTGGTGAATTGTTTGTATGTATTGATGTAAGCTCCCTTTAGAATTTTATAAATTTTACATTTTACATTTCTGAGTTATGGGGTTTTATTCATTAAAAAAAGGGGTGATTTTCCAGTTTTCGGACAATAACTCAAAAATGCTGTCACCAATTCTCATGAAACTTTGGTGAATTGTTTATATCTATTAATGTAAGCTCCCTTTTTATTTTCATAAATTTCTAATATGACATTGAGAATTAATTGAACTTTATTTGTTTATAGTCTGACAACAGATTTACTAAGTATTGCACAACAGCAAGAAATCTTTAATTGAATATAAATTCAATTCATATAACCAATTTCAAGTTCTTTGACTACATTTATTCAGAAACCTATAATATGTCAAATATTTAATTACAATCCAAATTCAGACCTGAATCAAGTATGAATATTGTGTCAATTTTTGCCCCAACTGTTCAGGGTTGGACCTTTGCGGGCGTATCTAGCTGCGCTCAGCGAAGCAGTTTATTATATTTGATATTCTTATGTACAATAGAGTTTCACAAATTCAATTTGAATCTATACTGAATCATAGAAAAATGTATTTGAACTGCCCTCCAAACGACCTAAAATTCTGTAATGAGACGTTTCTAAATTGTAACCATGCCTAACTGCAGGTCCGTAAATATCACATAACTAATGCTTTGTATTATTTTTTCACATCTTTAGAACCATTTGACAATAAAATTATATTCCATGTTAGCTATGCATTTTGTAAGAAATGGATCCCTGTAACATTTATCCTTGATTGAATTTTAAAAGTGTCCTTTTTGTGAACGTCGTATAATAAATTTTTTTCAAAGCGCTGTACATGCAGCATAGTGGATTAAAACAAATTAAAAAGAAAGACACAAAACATTCAATATGTCAGATGCAAAAACTGAAATAAAAATACCAAAAAATGACAACCATAAAAAAGTCAATACGGAAATAAATAGTAAAACAAAATAATAAAATGTATTAACCTTGTCGTCTAAAAATCATGCGAATCAGGTAAGAACCCTAAAGGAGTACCAAATGTTGCATTGAAAATAAATACAAAAACATGCAAAAACCCGTAAGTAAAAATTGTTATTAAAAGGCATAAAAAAGAAATGGAGCTTCCCAATCAAATTATCTTTCGCCGTACGTCTCCGTCTGCACTTTTGGAACGGTAAGTAGTTGGGTAAAACTCGAACAAAGACATCGATGTGGCACGTGATTATTGACTAGTTCCCTAATGTAAGCAGGGCCAATTCCATTCAAAAAAACAGTACGCCTAAATAAGTATTTTGTATTGTGGTCTGTATTGGACGAGTAACCAATGCAAATCGGTAAATGAGTATCGGCGTAATTTGTTCATGTTTCCTTGTCTTGGTGTATTTTGAAAGTTTTGTAATATGTTCATTGAAGTCTTGTTGATACTGTAGAGCACAATATTCCCGTAATGAAGTTTGGATGTTACTAGACAGTTCACTAACTAGTGTCTTACACGCGGCTGTTGTTATAAAGCTGCGAATGTTTCCAGTTTTACTGATGTGAAAATTACCTGATTTTACTATGGCAGATACTTCAGAAGATGTTTATCAAAATATTCTCCTCGGTTTATCACGCAGGATACACTACTTATCACAATATTGCCGACTTTCAGTTGCAGATTAGGTACACTTGCTTTCATACGTTTCTGTGTGAATATGATAAGTTTGGTTTTATCTTGATTAAGTTTCTACATATTTTTTGACATCCATGAACTTGTATCGGACAGATATAGTTCGAGTTTTGAAAATAATTCTTTCAGTAGTCTAACGGCTTCAATGGCGTAGCTACCTAAGGCTCGACTAGGCACGTGCCTATACATAAATTTGCTAGTTTTATACCCCTTTAAATGAAAAAAGAAAGAACTTTGTGTGAGAAATATGATGTCAACTGTACAGGAAATTGCGTTCAAATTTGATTATTCGGCTAAAAGCTTGACTACTTTCACAGAAGAACTCTCTGAAATGAAAATGGTCAAGAACATTTAGAACGCCGAACAAAGTTAAGAACGCTGTGTGAGACGATTTGGTCAAGCCGTGCAGATTCTCTGTTTACATTTCGAACAGCATTTGCAGTAAATTGTTGTCTCTGTCCTGAATTCCCTGAAAGTCGACAATGATGACAAAGCAGCACAGAGTATAAATGCGATTCTTCGATTCGAATTTATCATAAGTCTTGTTGTTGCAAAACACATACTATATTAAGCTCAACAGTCGTCTTGACAAATTGTTTACAGAAACCCAATATTGATTTGATAGACTGAGCTTTGACAGAAGCTAAAATTGTCATTCAAAGGCTTTCGGATGAAAGAGGTGATGTTACAGTTTGGGAGTCTTTGTTTGCAAGAGCAACAGATATGACAGCAGAACACGACATTCAGCCATCAGTTACTCGTATCGCTGGACGTCAACGACACAGAGCTCATCACCCAATTAGTGACCCGACAGACTATTGGAGAGTTTCGTTGTACTTCGTATTTATCGACCACTCGGTTGGTGAAATTACAAAGCGCTTAATCAGCAACGAGGAACGTTTCTTTGCATCTTACTTTATTCCAACCAAGTTAGGGAACTTGACTCCTACAATAGCGGACAAAATCTACAACATTTACCGTTCGGATTTAGGTGAAAAAAGAGAATTTGACGATGAGGTCGCTCGATGGAAAGCCCGTTGGTGTATTGAAGACAACAGGCCTGATAGACTTCTTGGTGTCCTTAATGTCACGAACGCCGATTTTTACCCTTCGGTGCATAGGATTATTTGGATATTATTGACAATGCCCGTTTCATCGGCTACCAGTGAAAGATCCTTCAGCGCGATGCGACGCGTAAAGTCCTGCCTGAAATCGACAATGGGAGACGAGAGATTTCCTATTATAATATATCTCTTCTTTATATCCACCAACACCTGAAGGGTGATGTTGATGCGAGTATAATCGATTTTGTTGGAAGAAAAAACCGTCGACTGGACTTTGAATAAGCGTATCATTGACTTTGTGTATGAAGCTGGACCTGAAAGTTATTTATAAAAAGTCCAGAAATTTTAGATTTGTTTAATTTTAACAAATTTTTGCCCAATGAGTTGAAAAATTCCGTTCGAAAAAGTTAAAAATCGTTTTCCTTGATCCTCTAGGGGCCTTAATTAAGCTTATTTTCTGCATAAAATAGTCCAAAAAATTTTTCGCCTCGCTACGCTCGGCGAAATATGCCTACACTTAAATACTTTTCTAGCTACACCCCTGGGCTTGATGACAATGTATACTTGTATATCGTCAACATAGAAGTGATATTTTTTACCATGACGACGGAATATTTCGTCCGTAGATTTTACCCCTTTCACTGGATACTTCATCTATTGATATACAATGTTACCGTTTTTAGTAAATCTAGATATATTTAGCTATGTTGAAAGACGTGCATAGTGTCAAATTATAAAAATACGGATTGTTAATTCAGTATCTAAGAAAACCTGTAAAATTTCCGCTGCTTCGTTTACAAAATGGGTGCAAATTGAGTACTCGGTGCGATTTGGGTACTATGACATTTAATATATCCGGCTTATATGATACTCCTCGTTTTGCCCATTTAGAACCAGTTAAAGTAAACGATGTAAGAACATAAGGTATTTGGGGCAAATATATTATTTGTTAATTCATGGCACACTCACCTGATTACTATCGACCAATTTGTGATGAGGAATAAAAGATTTGTTTTGATAGTATCAGTCAATGATGAATATATCCCAGCAGTTTAAATGTAGGTAATTGTAATATCTTAAGGCATACATAATAGTCATTTAAGTAAACACGAGTTTTTCAGAAGCAAAGCAACTTTGTCAAATGATACAGGTGTCCTGCTACCAATAAATTGTAAATTTATTATAGCATTACGTGTGTCAAAAAGTATGATACCATGATTTCCATGCGTATGCCACGTGTTTCTGTGGTATCCTTTCACTCAGATACGGTCCAGATTAAAATAATAAACGTTTCTAAATTGAGTGAATTTGTAAATTTTTTTATCAAACATCAAAAGCCGTCTAAGGTCAATTTCAAGAAGAGAGTTGCAACCATAACATTATATATGAACCGGAAACTAAGAGACAGGACGCATCTTAAATTTTTCTGAAACAAGCTTCATCAGGTGTGCCTCAAAGTTTGGAAGAACAAAATATAAATCGACCGGGAAAAAATCCAGAGTGCTTCAAACGTTAATAAAAAGCGTCCGAGATCAAATTTTGTGATGAAACGCTATTTTGTGTTCGTTTGCAGGTGTCCAGGTACATTGTACGAACGACACCCAATTGTTTCTCTTATGTTCGTCAAATGAGATGCCAACTACTTTTAAATTCGTTATTATCTTAAGAAAGAACATTGTCTATTGTAGAAAAATCTTGAAATTAAGGATTCTTGGTAATCATTTTCCGTTAATGGTTATAACCTTTGAATTCATTCTGATTCATAAAGTTATATATGAACTTATAATTCAACTTTTATACCGTTTTATTTAATACATTTTGACATATTTTAGACAACCATTCTTTATCAAGTAAACTGCTCAATATTTTATTGTACATAAAACCTGTGACACAGTTGTGTTATTGTAGATATTCGGTATATTTATTCATGTAATACCTTGGTGAAAACGAGAGGCGAAAGATACCAAAGGAACATTCAAACTATTCCATACTTTAATTTAATAGAGAAACAAAAACATTAAGCAAAGATCAAATTGTATTTTTTTTCAGAAATTATTATCCTGATTGAAGTTAGAAAGCGTTAAGCGATTAAAATACGGGTGCTTTCAATGATATTCAAATAATGTTCAATTAAGAAAATAAAAAAGTAACAAAACTCTGTTTATTCCCTATTGGACTTCTTTTGAATTTATTTTGATTTAAGTCTTTCAGTATTATCCTTCATTAAGAGTAGAGAGAGACAAAGTTGAGCGCTAAAAATAGGAACGAGCAAAGCAATATCATGTTTTTACTACTGTAGACTTAATTTTCACAGCATCAATGTTAACCAAGCTTTGCTAGCCAGATAATTTTCCCTGCTATCCGTTTAAGTTTTTAATATAATCATATGATATGTATTCCTAGCCATCATTTACACGAGATTATTAATGTTTAGCTCTTTAAAAGCAATTTTGAAAAGGCGAATAAGTACGCCTAAAAATACTGTTTTTACAATACAATATTCTGATCAGGAAACAACAATATGAGTAACATGGTGCCAGATAAGTAAAATTAATGTAATTGAGTGTTGCAAGACATGGCAAGGGCATTAGAATGAAACTATAAAAATTTGATTACAGGGCGAACTCTGACTCGATTTGTATCCGACTGCTTGTTGGAGGTAAGTCAGAATATTTAACAAACTTTAGATAGTTCTCATTAATTACATTCTGGCATTTACAACCGTTAACGAAGATATTATTATCATAGGGGTTATTTGGCATTACGTATATAGGATAAAATTAAGTATATACCGTTGCAGAATTGATAAGAGGGATTAAAAAAAATTATCCTGCATATTCGGATTGATTGATTGATTGGTGTTTAACGACATTTTTAGCATTATAATGATATTTCGTGGCGGTAAGTATTTACTGGTGGAGGAAGCCAGAGTGCCTGGAGAGAACCATCGAACTTCGAATGAAAAACAGACAATCCTTGTTAATTAAGATTGAAGTCGATCGCCCCTGCCGAATGCGGGATTCGTACTCCCAATCTCAGTGTTGACAGACCAGTGATACAGTACTTCGACCATTGACCACTTGGCTACCGAGGCCCCATGCATATTTGGAAGAAATTCATTCATTCATTTCAAAATGATTTATGTCCTTGACATTCTCCACGCAGACATTCTTTGTACGTTTCCTTCCATTAGACTTTCTCCTTCTTTTCCAACCTCTTAATTCAGCCACTATTTTGTTACTGCAGCACACAAGTGTATGCAATGGCCATCTACACTTAAATCTGTGAAGAAGTAAAAATCATGGTATCAAATGTAATGATGATTTTTAGTGCTAGTTAGCACAAAATAAACCAATATAGTCCAATACGAAAAATAATGTACAGTACTGGGGTAATTAGGGTGAAGTGTGAGTGCTAACTACAAGATGAAGACCCATTGTCACAGATGAAACTCAGCAATCATAAGTGGATTTACCTTGATGATTTTTAAAGGTTTATGACAAATGGTGGAGATGAATAGATTCAGAGTCTTGTTTTTGCTCATACTTTCACAGCTATATTCACAGAATATTTATAATGGGTTTTCAATTCATACAAATGTTGATCTTGTATTGGCTGAAATACGAATTATTTAATTCTATTCAGTCACATGTTTCCAATTTGTATGAAAACTAGCCATGCCGTATAAAAGCAATCTATGATTTATGATTTATTTTTAAAGATATGTAACAATACATTATTATCCTATGATCTTCTTTGTATAATAATTATTGTAATTTAATGAATATTTTATTAGTTATCTTTTTTTTTTTAAATCATGGCGATATGCAAATTTCAGCTATATGACGCATATAATTGATTTCACTGTACATGATACACCTTTCATTTCAATACACAATTTCTGTCTACTTTTAAATTTAAAATGTTAATAACATATATATTTTTATGTCGAAATTCTGTAAATATAAGAATTGTATGCTGTTTTCTGAAATGTGTACGCGCTTGATATGATGTAGGACGTGCTTTATGCTAAATGTGAAGGTCACCTGCTTTCATTTCGTTTGAATGAAAAAACACCACAGAATTCAAATCTATACTAATATCAAATCCCAATGTGGGAAATAATGAAATTGCAATCAAATTGTACGGTGCTATGTTGATCTTTATGGATTTCATATGATCTAACACTATTCTTTATTTAAATTATCTACAGTGTCTCCACCAGATATAGTTGAAGTACATCCTGTTGGTGATTTATTTCCAAACCATAGCACATGGACAATCAAATTTGATAAACAGGTAATAATGTTATATTTGAAGTATAAAAGTTTATACAACAACCGTTAATAGGCGGAAACTTGCCTACAAGATCCCTGATGATTTTGGATTTTTTTTTTATTTGTTGTTATTGGGTTTCAACTAGCTGTCAGTAACTGCGAGTACTCTCAGATTTGTACTTAGTGTCTTTTTGTTGTGGGGATGCATAAGTACCCTGCCACGTCTGCTCTGTGTTTTTGTTTTATGTATTTCTGCTTTGTATCGATCTGGTGAGTTATGCCCTTTTCAACTGATTTTTATATTGTGTTCTTACTGTCCTAGGTAAAGGGAGGTTTGGCGCGCCTTCAAACTAGTGTAACCCCGCCACATTCTGTATGTGCCTGTTCTAAGTCAGGAGCCTGTAAATTAATGGTTGTCTTATATCATATTTGGTTTTCGTTCATTATTTTGTACATAAATCAGGCCGTTAGTTTTCTCATTTGAATTGATTTACATTTGTCATTTCGGGGACTTTTATAGCTGAATATGCGGTATGAGTTTGACTCAGTTGAAGGCTGTACGGTGATCTATTGTTGTTAATTTCTGTGTCATGGCAATAATACCACATCTTCTTATTTTCATATTTATCCTCTTTTTTTTATTGTCCAAGCAGACAAAGCCTCAAACAAAATTGGTGTTATATGCACAAATCATAATTTGAATTGCGTAACGAAACTTTCATTTGAAGCGTAACGCGTGCATATTCACATAATACGAAGGTCATGAAACGCTTGTCCTATTGATGTACACGGCCTTGTATTTTTCTGTTTTTGTTTTTAATGGACGTACTAGTTTAAAAATCGATAATTACTGTGGACGCCTACTAAGAAATAAACGTCATGCAAAGCGTTTAGAATAATCATTTTACTAGGAGAGAAAAACTAAAAAAAAAACCAAATAGATCAGTAGTAAATAATTAGTTCTTTAATTTGAATACAAGTCTGTTGATAAGAAGGGCATCTTATTTTGTAACATTCTTCTGAAATTAACCAGATAATAGTACTGATTATTGAAATAAATATATACTTTAAGAATAAAATTCCGGATGACTGATTTAGTCATAACTTTGTGTAAATTTTGAAGACATACCAAATCTTTATATTGTAGATTTCTATATCACCATTTCTTTCCACCAATGAATAAAAAGCAAATATTGAATAATTTCATACATGTTTTTAGTTTGAACGACCGAACAGAACAACATATATGTACTTCAAAGAAAATGACACGGATGCAGTAATATACAAAATCGACATTTCAACAAGCAAAGATGCTCATTTTCCACAAGGTGCCATTGAAAAGACTCTTATAGTAAATACAAATTTTGAGTTTACAGAAAAGAAACACTATTACGTGAACTTAGATCCAGGTATATCATAATTTTATTTTGTTTAAATCTAAACCATGATAATTATGTAACCTGCTAAAATTTCTTTATTTTCTTTGTTTCTAAATACAAGTACATTCTTACATGTAAACGATTAAATTAGCACGGAAGACTTCATTATAAGGCGGAAAATATTCTTTAGAAAATTCACCGTACGATTTATAACAAGAGGCTCTCAAGAGCCTGAATCGCTCACCTGTAATTGTTTGCTTAAATCTTTCATCAATGATTCTTTTTGCTTTTCAATATATATTAATGAGTAGCTTAAAAATGCCATTTAAATGTTCTTTGTATCTGTCATATTTTCTTCAAAAGCAAAAAAATGCATTTAAGCCCTATATTCCATTTTAGCCATAGTGGCTATGTTTCTTGACGTACAAGGAAATAAAATACAAAATTTATACTAGATACTCTGAAACTCATTCAGCAGTTTCAAAGGAGAAGATTTTTTAAAGTAAGCAAACTAGATGAACAAATTGTGAAAAAGGGGTCAATTGACAAATTCGGTCATATAAAACTTATTTGTAGATCTTACTTTGCTGAACATTTTTACTGTTTACAGTTTATCTTTATCTATAATAATATTCAAGATAATAACCGACAACTGCAAAATTTCCTTAAAATCATCAATTCAGGGGCAATAACCTAAAAATCAGATACCCGATTTGGCTGATAATTTCAGGGCAGGTAAACCTTGACCTAATGAATACTTTAACTTCTTGTCTGATTTGCTCTAAATGCTTTAGTTTTTGAGATATAAGTCAAAAACTGCATTTTACCCTATACCCTATGTTCTATTTTTAGCCATGGCGGCCATGTTTTCTGAGGAAACAGAAAATAAAACACAAACTTTAGTCTAGATAACCTAAGAATCATTCAGCTTTAGTTTGGTTTAATTTGGTTCAGTAGTTTCAGAGAACAAGATTTTTTAATGTTAGAAAACATGATAAACAAATTGTGTAAAATTGTCCTTAAAGGGCAATAACTCCTTTTAAGGGGTCAATTGACAATTTTGGTCATATTAAACTTATTTGTAGATCTTACTTTGCTGAACGTTTTTGTTGTTTACAGTTTATCTTTATCTATAATATTATTCAAGATAATAACCAAAACTGCAAAATTTCCTTAAAATTACCAATTTAGAGGCTGCAACCCAACAATGGGTTGTTAGATTCATCTGACAATTTCAGGGCTGATAGAACTTGACCTAATGAAAATTTTTACCCATATCAGATTTGCTCTAAATGCTTTAGTTTTTGAGATATAAACCAAAAACTGCATTTTACCCCTATGTTCTATTTTTAGCCATGGCGGCTATGTTTTTTTACGAAACATAAAATAAAACACAAACTTTATTCTAGATACCCTAAGGATCATTCAGCTTAAGTTTTGTTGGAATTGGTTAAGTAGTTTCAGAGGAGAAGATGTTTGAAATAGTTTACACCGGACGGACGACGACGACGGACGACGACGGGCGCCAAGTGATGGCAAAAGCTCACCTTTTCTTTGGAAAGGTGAGCTAAAAAATTATATTCGGCATTAACCATTTGACCCGTTATCACACTATGTAATTTATGAAATGTGTCTTCGCGTTCTCGGTGTACTGAGACTTCCATTTTGCAACACCAAATGACAACAGGACATTCAATTTGGTATGTTTATTTTGTTATATTTCTATATTTGTTTTAAATAACATGATCTATTTCTGAATGAATTTTGTAAACACAAGTTGGATATTAACATATAAATAATAATACATTTTAAAGCATTTGTGTGTTTTGTCTGAAAGTTCGATGGCATTCAAAGATTTTTGATAATTCAGTTAAACATATTGTTATAAATGCCAAAACATGAATTAAACATAAACATCATTTATCTTTGATATCAAACATGCATGGTCCCTCATATTGCTTCATTCTTTTACATGTAATAAATATACATGATCGGTTTAGTCTGCAAGTATGCTGTGACTTCGCGTTCATTTCAGTCCTGTGTACTGTGACTTCTTGTACAAAGTGATTGTGAATGTACAGTGACTTCACGTTTAACAACTGCAATGTAATTGTGAATGTACAGTGACTTCACGTTTAACAACTGCAATGTAATTTTAAACCGTTAAAATCGTCCCATATTTTGCAGCTGTAAACTGAGAAATTATTTGGGGTGCTCTCATTTGATCTTTCTCAGTTTTACGAAGAATCTGTATTTTGTAACTTGTTGCATTCATTGTACATTTTGAGTTTATTCATTTTGTCAAATTAATGTTTTGTCGAGTCCACTGTGCAAAGTACCCATTGAGTTGTAATTATTGTGATGAGAGGTCATTGTCATAGAAAGACAAACTGAAGCATACTATAGCCCATCATGGAAATAAAGTGTTGAAATGCAAAAAAACAAACTATGAATTATTGCCAACCACTGGTCAGTATGGTAATCAAACCTTAAGTTATGTGAATTTGAAAGATATGGGAAACAAATATTCATAGATATCAATGTAAAAGTATTTATAAAGGCAGCAGTTTTGAAATCGTTGTTTATAGCAGATAATGATAGACTGAAAATTTACAAGATTTGTGTAGACGGCTAAAACAGAACATGTCCTCTAGATAGGAACAGGTTTTTGTCGATCCTAAAACTTTTGTCGCAGAAAGCTCGACATAGTGATAGTGATCCGGCGGTGGCGGCGGCGTTAGCTAACTTCTTAAAAGCTTTATATTTTCCAAGGTGGAAGACCCAGATACTTAATACTTTGTATATAGATGCCTTTTGTTATGAAGTTTCCGTCTGTCATATGTTCATTGTCCTTGACCTCATTTTCATGGTTCAGTGACTACTTGAAAAAAAAGTTAACATTTTTTGTAATGTTAATTTCTCTCTTATTATGAGTAATAGGATAACTATATTTAATATGTGCTTACCTTGCAATGTCCTCATGCCCGTCAGACAGTTTTCATCTGACTTCGACCTCATTTCATGGATCAGTGAACAAGGTTAAGTTTTCGTGGTCACGTCCATATATCAGATACTATAAGCAATAGGTCTTCTATATTTGGTGTATGGAATAATTGTAAGGTGTACATGTCCAACTGGCAGGTGTCATCTGACCTTGACCTCATTTTTATGGTTCAGTGGTTAAAGTTAAGTTTTTGTGTTTTGGTCTTTTTTTCTAATACTATATGTCAACTATATTTAGTGTATGGAAATATGTTACAATGTACATGTCAGTCTGACAGGTTTTATTTGACCTTGACCTCTTTTCACGGTTCATTGCTCAGTGTTTAGTTTTTGTGTTTTGGTCTGTTTTTCTTAAACTATAACCAATAGGTCAACTATATTTGTTGTATGGAATGATTGTAAGGTGTATATGTCTGTCTGGCAGGTATCATCTGACCTTGACCTCATTTTCATGGTTCATTGGTCAATGTTAAGTTTTCATGGTTAAGTTTGTTTCTTAGATGCTATAAGCAATAGGTCAACTATATTTAATGCATAGATTGATTGTAAGGTGTACATGTCTGTCTGGCATGATTCATCTGACCTTGACCTTATTTTCATGGTTCATTGGTCAATGTTTAATTTTCCTGTTTAAGTCTGTTTCTTAGAAACTATAAGCAATAGGTCAACTATATTTGGTGTATTGAATGATTGTAAGGTGTACATGTATTTCCGGTTTGGTTTATCTGACCTTGACCTCATTTTCTTGGATCATGTTAAGTTTATGTGATACTTTTAGTAAATCTTTATATTTAGGACAATCAACATAAAATCAATGGTCAGTAAAGAAGGCGAGACATTTCAGCTTGTGCACTCTTGTTTCAGATACCAGTCAGTCATTTCGGTCCAGAACATTTCAATGTGCGACGGTGTAGATCTCTTTGATTTTGAAGACAAGCCAACAGCAAATGACTGAACAGATATGTTAAGCATATAAGAATCTGTTTCGAATATATCAAATGTTGATGAAATTCTATGAATTGGATATAGTCGACATGAATGATATGTCTATCAAAGTGCCAGAAATATAACAATGAACTTCTCCATTTCATGAAAGAATTGGTGGTACTGTCAAGCTTACAAATTTCGAATTTACGACAAATATAAGTAAAAAAATAGTAAGGGAACTAAAAGGGATTAGGAGAAATTATAGCTATACATGCCTTAGTGATAAGTGGTGTCCATGCCAGTTTGTATCAAATGAATGAGACTAGATGACTGTCCGATACCTTATTATTGGATAAACACTTCAGCCTGGTACAAAACCATGAAAATTTGTTTGAAAGAAGAGATACTTTACACATGCAAAACCAAACATGTGTGTTTATCCGGAGTTGAGGATATTTTGTTAGAGAATGAAAACGTATACAGCGACTATTGGATTCGTACAAAGTTTGCAGGGTTACGATATTGTTAAGTTAAATAATAAACCAATATGATCACCCTAGAATACGAAAACTGATAGTTGAGGTTGTAATTTGATACTACAGCACGAAGTCACAGTACACAAAAACGTGAAAGCACAGTAACGTCTGAAATATTATGAACGCGAAGTAACAGCACACTTGCAGATTAAACCGACTATGTATATTCATTCCATGTAAAGTAATGCAGTAATATTAAGGACCATACTTATATATCAAGGATAAATGATTTTGAAGGGGATTTTAATTCATGATTTGGGAAATATGCAATTAATGTTTGCAAAATTCATTCTGAAATATATCTTGTTATTAACAAGTAAAAAAATCAATATAGAAAACAAAATAATCATACCACACTTAATGTCTTGTTGTTATTTGGTGTTGCAAATTGGAAGTCACAGTACACCGAGTTTCAAAGAGGACACCGTTTACATAGTGTGGTTATTGACGAATAACTATTTTTATGGTTAAAAAAGATATTAAAATTTGAATATCAGCTTTTATTTTACGATTCTAATTAAGTATAAAATCATTAACTAGCGTCATTTTAGCGTCATTTACCATATGCTGGAGTTATTTATAAGTTATTTTTTTATCAATGACTTTACAATAAAGCTATGATCCTTGTTCACAAAACATTTTTTTTTCATGAAATTCAATTATTTGTGAGAATATCTTTGTTACGATTATTATCAATTTTAGACGCATATAATGTGTTCTAAATTTAGCTGTTTACAGCTCTCCATTGGATTATTTTTATCTTATTTCTTTACTTCATGCCAATTTCACGAAAAAGATAATCACATTTTCGAACACAGTAATGTGTGCTTTAATCTGAAATATTTGAACGTTTTAAATGATTACCCTGCTCACAATGTTATTCATATATATTTTCCTTTCAGGTGCCGCCCGAGGAAAGACCAACGATTGTAAAGTTGAATCATCGCCAATTCGCAACAAAACATTTTGGGAGTTTAGAATAAGTAAATATTTATGTATTTTTTAATCACAATTCCTTAAATTATCATTTTTGGGTTTCTCTTGTATATATTTGTAAAGTTCAAATCTGTTTCCGACCTTAAATCTATGTCCTTTCCTCAGATCTGTGTCCCACGACGTCATGAAATGCAAATCTGTGGCCCTTTTTCGAGCCCCAAATCTGTGTCCTTTCCTCAAATTTCTGTCAAATAACGTCATGACAATTATTGTTGATTTAAGGAATGACTGTAATATTTTTCTGTCTATGAAGAAATAACATCAAAAATGTGGTGCACACTGAATAATCTGCGTAGCGGGTTATTTTAACGTGTGCACCACATTGTTTATGTTATTTCGAATAGACAGAAAACATATTACAGTCATTTCTTATAATTTAATTCTAAATTCCATTTTAAACCGGAGTAAACCATGAAAAAACGTTGATGACGTCACGGTCACATGACAAAACTATGTCTATGAGCTGATAAACAAAACAACGTCAACCAATCAGAAGACGCGTTACATCCAAAACTAAATTATTAAAATATGTGTTCTTTATGCAAAGTAGACATTCAGTTATGTCACGTGACTTGGACAGTCACATAGAATGCGACTAGGCAAACCTTACCCTAATCTGGTACCGTTGTGTAACAAACAATGAGAATCAGTTAGAAAGGGTTCGGCATAAAACTCACAATCAACTTGACATATTTGTTTTAAATACAGAAGACCAAACCTGTTGTACCGCTGTTTGCTTGGCTTTCACGACTTCTTTACTTATTTGTTGTATCCTCAAAACGCTTTTACGACTAAAGTGTTTACAGTATTAAGTGTATTATAGTTTTAACATTTCCACTATAAAACTATATCATTGATTTGAAATCCCAAAAACAAACTTGATCAGATGGATTATAAGTATCTAAGTGATTAAAAAAAAAATTTCGCACTTTTTTTAAATGCGAGAAACTTAGCCCTATGTTGAGGGGTGAAAGGGGTCTCTGATTCCAAGTCTTATTCCCTTTACTCCAAGACGGAAATAGGTATCAGAAAGTATTCAAGCATAACCCTATGTTTTACTTTTGGTCTCCCCTTGGTTTCCACCAGACTCTTGACTCCTGCTTCCAGCCCATCATTCCCAGATTTCAGTATACCTGTCAAGACCTCGCTACATACACATTAACTTTTCAATGGCCTTAACTATTGTCGATTTAAATCAGATTACGAAAGTCGTATTGATGCCTTTGACAACAAAAACACATTTTTTCTAGATTGAAGGAAAAAAGTCACAGGAAAAAAGGCACGGAAAAAAGTCACATGGAAAAAATTCACTGGATAAAAGTTCACAGGAAATGAAGTCACAATTATTAAATTTGGTATATATATCAAAATTGGTTTGGCATTCCAACTGTGTTGATTTGAGCTCTTATGTATACAGAACGCGCGTCTGACGTTCAAATTATAAGCCTGGCATCTTTGTTGAGTTTATACAAGCACTTAGTCGGTGTCACTGCTGTTGGACGTTTCGTTCTCTAGGGTATCAACAGCCCAGTACTCAGCACTTTTGTGTTGACATGGAATATAATTGATATTTTCATGTTCTGTAGAATATAGAATAAATCGGAACACTAAAGGTTTTTACACCCAGACAGAAACTTACTTAACCGTATTTGCAATAACTGTTCTAGGTTTTCGTTTTTTTTATGCTCTTCAAATTCGTAATTTGTTTGGCCGTCCTTCTGTTTTAATTTTGAGCACACCTGATGAGTCTTGTTTAGATGAAACGCTCGTCTGACGTCCCAAATCGTAAGCCTGACATCTTTCATAGGTTTTATTCGTGACAATATCCAAATTGACACAAAAAACGACACAACACATCGGCATCCGATTTTTACATGATTTGAAAAGTGGGATGTTAATTTATAAAATGGTCAAAATACAAAGGACTTATCGCGGAATTACGAGTTTCAATATGACTCCCTACAAAAACTAGGTAAAGTTAAGTGAAAGCTTGATTTGGAAATCCCCACATTTGGAAAAATACAATATATTTTAATCATACACCGTAGCCGCTGTTTACATGTAGTTTAGAACTGGTAGATAAGTTGGGGTAGGGAAGGGTACTTTTGAGAAACTAAACCACCACATACTTTTGACAAAGCAAACTCATTGATGTATATGTGTTTTCAACAGGAGATGTAACAAAACCCGAACTAACCTTTATATCGAGACAGAAAGCAACGAATGGTAATATTACTGTATCATGGACATTTAACGAGCCTGTAACATCAAAATGTACCATTGTCAAACCAGATGCGACAAAAAAGGCGAACTGTACAGATTACTGGTCTGGAGACAACTTGAAAGAGGGATTTTATACGTTATTCATATTTGGGACAGACTTAGAGGGAAACCAAGCAGACGTTGGAAAATACGAATTCCAAATAGGTAAGGTGTTATATTTTAAAGTTCCTGATATAATTGCATCTTGTCGTCTTTCTTTAAAAGAAATGTGTATCTAGAAGATTTAAGTAAAGAGAGTGATATTTTTTCTTGATAATTTTGACCTAATTTTTATCATTGAAAAATGTAACGTCACAGTACCCAAATTGTACCGAGAACTTAAATTAAATCCATTTAGCAAAAATTGAGGCAAAAACCTTACAAGTTAGAAACTAAACAATTTGTATTATTATGATTTGACATTATATACGTCTTTCAAAATAGCTAACTATATTTAGATATACACAAAACGTTCACAGTATATATCAACCGATGAAGTATTAATTGGGAAGTCCACAAAAGTCAACTTTTAAAAATGAGCAATTAAAATATGTTACAGGTATCTATTTCCAAAAAAATGAATATTAAGCATGGACCATTGTCCAAATGTTCTAAATATTTGGAGACATAAAAAAAAATCAGTTATTCGAATTTTACGGATGTGAATTTAAAGATGCATGCAATTTGGGTACTCTTCATTACAGAATCTTGAATCGCATAGATAAGTAGATAAATTACATAATAATTAATGTAGACAAATTTTACTATACTATAAGTGAATTAGTTTTTGTTTTTGTTCGTTGTAACCAAAGTTTTGTCAGTTTCATAATTTAAACATGTCATCTGGAAATTATAACTTATGGCAAGTAGATGGTACACCTTGCAGATCAGTTGTTTTTGTCTGTGGTAAAGGCTGATAACTTCACTTACCATGTCGTCACATTAAATTTTAATTTTATTATTTCCTTCCCTACGCCTATATCACCCTGCTCAGTCGCTCCGTAATTCTCGTATCACGGCTTTGAGACGAGAGCAGGTATTATCAGCGACGTCACAATGTCTGAAGAGAAGTTATCAGCGACGTCACAACGTGTGAGGAGACGTTATCAAGCTTGCTTTCGTCAAGCGTAAAACTGTATTATATACATTGCACGTCTAAATATTGACAACTTTACGACAGGCGTTCTCAATTGGATAACCTGTAGTAATATAGGACTTACACCATAATTTATATATACTTCGTCTCAAATTTAGCACAGCAATGTTAGATCTGCAAATTTGTGTGAGCAAATAGTTCTTTCCTTAGCGGGATTTGAACCCCTGAATCTGGGACATTGTGGCAACACCGCATGCACTGTACACAGTGCCCTGCATCACTCGACCAACTAGGCTATTAAAATTTAGCTTTCGTTAGTCGAGTTATGCTTTTCCTCGTGCGACAAATTAACGTCATAAGAATTCAAAACAATACACTAACACCAAAATGACTATTCTTGTGTGTATGATTCTGTTTGATGTTATGTTTATCAAAATATGTTTTAGTGACGATGCGCTTTAGAAAACCCTGACAATATGTGACCTGTTGTAAAAGTAGAATTAGGTTGATACTAATATTCATGTCCTTATTTATTGTCTTCTAGATACGACTCCACCGGATATTTTTATCAACGATAAACCACATGACATAAGCAAACATCAACAGTTCACATTCAGCTTAAGCTGCAATGAAAACTGTAGTACCTACTGTAGTCTTTATGAAGAAGGGAGCTTTCCAACGTATGTCATCTGTAATCTATTCAACACTATGTTTAGTTTGAAAGATAACACCACTTATGTTTTTCTTGTGAAAGCTGTCGACGCTGTTGGAAATGAAGGCAATAGCACTCTTTACAGATTTAAGACAGGTATTGGTTTGTCTTAACAGAGGTCTTTTTAAACACAAAGCCGTGTCTCAGATTACATATACACTAAACTTGCTCTTATTTCAAATGTTGAAGCCATATGGGAGAGTGTTTCTATATTAGTATTTCGCATTTTTGAACAAGTAGGAATTCTTGAATAAAGAGCTTTACATGCTGAGAATATAGTTTTGAAAAATATAAATCAGTACGTCTTTGAAGGTTATGGAAAATTATTACTTTAAATATTATTTCTGCAGAACTTGTAGAATTATTACAATAAAAAAAAACCAATAATATAAAAAAAAATAAAGAAAGAGGTCTCTCACAAATGTTATGTACTAAATTAAATTAATAGACAGTCAATACTGTGAATGGTCTTAATTATTTGAATCATATATCAGTAATACATGATAGAAATGCAAAAGCATGATTGCTCTAATATTTAGTCTATTTATACTTTACCCGACCAGTTGATTATTGTTTTTAGAATCAATGTGTTTTATCTTCGTTTTATCTCAGTTATGCCTTGGTCAAAATTCAATGATGACGTCAAGCTTTCCTGCTTTCCTCTGAAAATCATCTGTGACGTCAAGAAAAAGATAATTGTTTTTATATCATCGGAAAAGAAAGATAGAGTGGTTATTATGATCATTAAAGACACAGATTCCGCCATCGAATCTCTGGATATACAATATTTCTCTCCTCTACACAAGTATTTCTCGTGATAAATTTAAAGATAAATTAAAGAATCAGTTCATCACTGTTTAAGGCAAAGAATGACAAGGAAAGGATAAATCATTCGGATTGAAAAAACAATTATCTTAAACTTACATCATCAAAATGATATTTCAATTGACAACACATTTGTGATGTTTCGAAGATGTTATTAACAAACGATTGGCATTCCTACGAAAACAAACTGTGCTCCTCATCTTGCCGACGTGTTCCTTTATTCACATACGACATTCTTTATACAGAAGTTTCTTAGGTAGAATGGAAAGAAGCTAACATTATCTTTAACTTCACTTTTTCCTATACGAATGATGTATTCTAACTTAATATTTCAATGTCATGTGTCTTTGTTGATCGCATCTATCTCATCGAACGTTCAACTCGTTTGTAATAACATTCAAGTATCGCCTGCATATGGAGTACATATCTCCGAGTTGATGGGGTATTTTGTTTCCTATGATAATTTCCTTGACGAAAAAGGAAACTATTGAACCCATGGTTCCTAATGGTAAAGTTGAAGTCGTTAGTATTCGAGAGTATTACGGTAGCCATCATGATTTCGTTGACCGTAATGGAATACCAGATATGTTTGTTTCAATTGTCGGAGCCATGATCCTGTCCTCTTTACTTGATTGTGACACCATTGAATGTGAGGTATGACCGCATATTTACACGCCTCAATGCCTTCAACCTCGTACTTTTATTAGCCTTTTTTTACTTTTTTCTTATTCGAGCGAACGCGTCTTTTGCAGACGAAACGCCAAAGTTCTAATCCTGGTATCTATGATGAGAGTTTATTTACTTATTAAAAAACATAATAAATTATGCTATTAAACCTTTTATTGACCTAGTCTAAGACATATATTTCATTACATAATAACAACATTTTATGATTGTATATTAAACAGATTTCACTCCACCTTCGATGACTACACTCGTGAATCAAACACTCATGTGTGGTGCAGATTTTAACCCAAACATAACCGGCATCCCGATTGTAACAGACAATAATCCTAATGGAACGAACATTATTTATACAGACAGTGTAGGAGAAAACTGTGGAATTCAAAGAGTTTGGACTGCAACTGATGCTGCAGGGAATGAAGCTATACAAACACAAGTAATCTTATTTGAATCTCCGACACCAATAAGGTTATTGTTTGCAAGAGAGGCATTGGTTCCTTGCGGAGATATTGATGATTTTACCAAGAGCATGCAACAATATATTTCAAAAAATGTAAATCACCCTTGCGGAATACCTTTCAAAAGAATTTACTTTACAGATTCAAACATTCTTAACAAATGTGGTATCACAATTATACGAACATGGCACATTGAAGATAGTTGTGGAAGCACAACAAATGGCACACAGCAAATTAAAATTTTGCAACTGGAAGTACCAGTGACGCCTAAAAATGGTCAAGTGAATGTAGAATTACAGTCCACATTACGATGGCCATCCTATCCAAAAGCTACCAGATATGAAATATATCTGTGGCTGTATGGACAAGAAAAACCAGAACAACCAGTTATTACCATACAATCGCGTACATATTGGAAAACATCAAGATTAACATCCAATACAAAATATTCATGGAAGGTTGAAATTGATATTGGAGAGAATGATACTATTCCTGGTCCAAAATGGTCATTTGAAACGAGAAAAATTCCAGATTTGACAGTAGAACGTATCATAGTTCCAAAGGTTGCATTCTCAGGACAATCATTTGTTGTTCAATGGTCAGTGCGTAACACTGGCACTGGAATAACAGAGACCGCCAGTTGGAATGACCTTGTGTTTTTTTCTTTTACCGACAGTTTCGAAGACGCAAAAAGATTCAGAAGTCCAACTGTTGTTATGCAAAGGAATATCTTGTTCCCAGAGGATGGATACACATCTCAAGCAAAGGTATTTACAAATATATATATATATATATATATATATACAATTATTTCAGTATTTATGAATATCCTGCGAACTTATGTATACAGTTTAAACATTGACTGACAATGCTTTAACAATAATACAACAGTAAATGTTCCCTCTTTCTTGGTATTTATGCAATTAAGTCTTCTAGAGTTATTATTTCATTTTTATATAGTTTGTTTTACTACTAAATATACGGTAAGGAAGCATCAAAGTCAATATGCATCTTTTCACGACTATGCGAAATAAATTTCTATTAAATTTAGGTGAATTTGCATGAGGGCGACATGGGCTTATTTTGGGTATTTGTTGAGACCAGATATCAAGACTACAATACAACAAACAATGTACGTGACCATCGTATAGATGTTAAGCTAACTCCACCGCCGGATTTACAGATTGATTCAATAATAATTCAAGATGTTACCTTCTCAGGTATGTATTCTTTATATCTGATATTTCACTAGATTTCACATGTTCAAGACTAAGTTTTTATACTTTTAATATGTGACTTGCACTACCATTTTATTTCTGTTAGAATGGACGCATGAGAAGGCGTACGTTCGTTGTGAATCATTTCCTTTATTTATAAATGCTTGACGTCAGATAAATTATCATTATCAATCTCATCTGGTTGTAGCCTGTTATTTATTTCCCGCATGAAGATATATTTCTCATATCACATTGAAAGTAATGTGATATGAAAAATGCGTTAATTTGGATGGCCTATCCATGCAATGTGTTACGAAATTGTAACATTGCCATATGCTATTCGTATGATGACTTTTGCATTTTGTCACGCCTTCATAAAATAATGGCCTGTCGGTGCATGTCGACTTAACAGGACAAATTAGAACAAGTCATTCGACGTGTTATTTACTACTGATCATTTGCACATTGTTTTCTGAACAGCAAAATGAAGGACAACTTAAGAATACATTTTGTTTATTCAATTTGTAAACTTTGTATGTAAATGTACAGTAAGTATAGTGTCGGCTGGGATCGTGTTTTTCCCAGTGATTTGATTTTTTTCGAATGTGACCGCGGTTTTTCGAGTGAATATGATCAAATACGTTAACAAACAGACAGCCATTCTGGTTAGACGTAAGTGTGATAAAACCTAATATATTAGATCATACAAGGTAACTAAGAATTTGTGATAAAAAGATATTGTCAGCCCTACTTTATTTTGTTTTAAAAACGTTCGACTTAGCCTTACAGTGCTTTATTCCGAAATATAGACTAAAGCATGAAAATAAAAAAGACATAACACATAATTTCATACAACGGCTAGCATTATAAGTTAATTGTATTTCCAGCATTTTTGTTCATATCAAAACAATTTTAATTTTTCCGTACTAAAACTTCTACTGTATTGAAAATACACTCAGTCGCGTACAATAGACAAAACAATGTTTAACAAAATCAGCTTTACTCTTTTCACTTTTCAGCTCGTATGAAGTTTAACTAAAAGCTTGTAATTAAGATTTATTAATTCCTACCCGCGGGAGTTGCAGATTTGCTTCAAACATGAATATCGATTTTTGTTTACAGATTTAAGAACTGATGTCTTGAAACATCGCCTTTATATATATGAGTAGATGTCGTTTTATTGCTATTGAGACAAATGTGCCCATGAAAAGATCAATGGGCAAAGAATGTTTTGTTCAATCATATTAGTTTTTCGTACACTACGCTACCAACACGAAGATCTTACAACACCCCCTGCAAAATCAAGTTCTGGATCACATTTCAATTACAAATAAAAACTGTATAAACGTCAAAATGTTTTCTTCAGATTTAAAGTTTTCAAGTTTCTTTTTAAATCAAACTGTTAGTAAATTTCAATGTATGATTGGAAGCTTTTGTTGACACCGAATTTTCTTGAGCTTCAAAACGAATTCTGTTGCTTCTTTACTGTTTTAAATATACCTTTGGCAGTTTCAATCACCCGTTCTTTTGAGATTTTAATCACCAAATGTTAACCTCCTAAAAAAAATGAAAATTAAATGGTTGATAAAAATATTAATTTTTGCAAAGCCTAAATGTACCGGAAATTTAAGGTAGACTTGTTTGCTCATGACATTTTCACACTATTACTGATTGTTTTTGCTCGAGTTTGAAATGTAAGGTTTGCTGTTTAAGCTGAATTTCAAGTCAATACTTAAGTAAAACTCTACCACCAGACTCCAGTACTGATTGTCTGACTTTTAGATCATATCGCGTTTTGTGACGTCTTCCAGTCGTTACTTCTACATCTTCTTACATCTACTTACGGCTGATTTTTTAGCTGTTTTATAGGCAAACTGCTGTCGTTTCTTCAAATCACTTACATATGCAGTGTGATATTTTGTAACAGACTGCTTTGAGTTGCCTATAAAAGCGTCAATGGCAAGCCGCGGGTGCCAACCAAACATTATATAATGTGGGCTGTATCCAGTTGTCTCGTGTTTTGTTGAATTGTAGGCATGTACTAATGGCGCAACATACAATTTCCAATTGGAATTTTTTTTATCGTCATCAAGAGTACCCAACATGTTTAATAAGGATTGGTTAAAACGCTCGCTCGCACTGACCGTTCCCTTGCTGGTGATACGGCGTCGTGCGAGATATTTGATTGCCTGCTAGTCTGCACAGGTCCTGGATAACCTTTCTCCCCTGATCACTGTGAACTCGAGACTGAAAAAAGAATAGTGCTGAATGAAACTTTACCATAATACTCTAGCTGTAGTTTAAGCGGACTTGTTTTTCGTAGGTATAGCTTTAGCGTCCCTCGTAAAATGACCATATATTGACCAATGATGCAGAATTCCTGCACTTCGACTTTCTGAGTATGCGTTCTGACAATTCGAAACTTTCCTCTCTACGTCTTTTTCAAGGGATTTCACAAGTGATAAAGTACGATCGCGCCCCTGGTGATCTACATCGTCATGTAAAACAGTCAGTACTAGATCATGGTAAATAGAAGGTAATACTAGTTGAAACACAGCTTCATGATTAATGTAGCTTTTCCTATATAAAACCTTATCTTTCAAACAGTTTTTCCCATTCTCGCAGTAATTTTTGGACATGATCCTCTTCATGAGACATCTGACGCTTAGTGAGCCTATTTGTCGTCAATCATCAAGTGAAATATGAATATGAAATATGAATATGATATGAATGTGAAACATATAACACTGAAAACACAAATAACATCAAATGTTAAATAATTGGAGCAAAATATATTGAATACATATATCCTCTGACATATATCCATATTTTTTTGTTTAATTAAGCAAGCTTCTAATTATTGCTGTAACTCTTTCAAATAAAATACCGAAGATTAAACCGTATAATATTGTTCTTAAATGGGTCCCCAATGCAACGTCATTAGGTCGTGACATCATTTTCTGGCACACGAAATGCAATCATATATGATTACCAGCAGCAAGAGGTTGAAATGGACATGTTTTGGGGGATTAGACACGTTTGGTGGAATGAACACGTTTGAGAGTATTACAAATGTAATTACGCTTGAATAAACAAACCATCAATTCATAAAGGCGTGGCAAACTGTCATTAGTATCCAATCGTCTTTCCCTTTGCATAAAGTTTAATGTGCTGATGAAGGGACGACATTGTAATGCTTTTATGTTATTGTTGTTAAACATCAAAGTTCGGCATATTTCGTAGTAATATTGATTTCGACAGGTTGCTTTGTATAAACGGTTTATACAAAGCAACTTGTCGAAATCAATATTAGTAGTGACTATAATAAAACCACGGACACGATATCCAGTAGTTTTAAAATTTTCTTATAACTAATTTATAGACTTATTTTGCATTCTATTGCATTTTCGTTTCACATTATATGACATTTAATATATATTGTTTCATATATTTGATTGATAGGGTCTTCTTTACCTGTTATTTACAATGTTCGCAACCATGGAGACGGCGCTACTACCGTTGATTCCTGGGTAGATGATATTTACTGGTCTGATGATGATAATTTAGGTACTTTTCAGCTCTTTTTGAAGATTTATATATATATATTCGAGTTAAATTTTTAAATTTTAATTTTGAAAAGGTAGATATAAAATGTATAAAGGATTAAAAAAAGCAAATAATTAACATGAAATTGGCATCATAGAAACACTATATTTGTTTTTGTAGAATTGATTTTATATCAACACGTAAGGTACTTTGTGCTTCCTTTCAGTAACTGCGATCTTTCTTTGATACGGTATACTATTGTTTAAGCTTTTGTGTATACTTGTGTTATTGTTACCTATTTAATCGTTATTCTATGGTCAAGTGCCTTTCATTACTGATTGCTAAGGGATCTTTTTATGTTTCATTGTTAGTAAACTGATCTTGATCATTGAGGTTGATGATAGAAATAAAATTAGATTAAACTTTAAGAAATTAAATTTTAATTTCCCATCTTTTGTACATTTTCTGATTTGGGTAAACGAAATACACGGAAATTGTACCCTTTCATTAAAAAAAAATGTTTGTTTGCAGATTAGATTCGGTTAAGTCGAACAAGTTTATAATATACCCCCTTCTTTTTTTTGGGCCATGTTTGCATATTACTATGTCTTCAATGAAACAGAAAAACCGATGCGCTGACGAAAGAAATCATGGGATTGATGTAGTTGTGTGTTTTATCGATGGCAGTTAACAAAATAACAAGTCTTTTGTTCTCAGATTGGCAAGATATTCACCTAAAAAGACACTACAGAATAGGCAAGTTAGTCCCAGATGAAAGCTATACAGTGCATTTATCAATCCTTGTACCCAGAAATATATATGGAAATTACACTATTATTGTTCACTCTGATAGTGCCAGTGATGTATACGAACATGGGATGGATGAAAACAACAGGAGGGTTTCAAAGGTAGTGTTATTTTTCATATTATCATATCTGTTATTTACTTGTGCATTTTCAATATTCAATAGTTCTTAACTTATCTCTTAATCATAAAAAAGCTTCAGTAAATAAAGGCAACAGTAGTATACCGGTGTTCAATAGTCATAAATCGATTAAGCAAAATCAAATCCGGGTCACAAACCAAAACCGAAGGAGTCACATCAACTATAAGAGGAAAATAACGGAACAACAGAAACACTGAACTGCAACAACACAACCGCCAACAAGATACATAGAAACGGACTATTTGATAACAACTGCCATATTGCCGACTTGGAACAGGACATTTTAAGGAAAAATACTGGGTTGTGCCGGGTTTATGGCTAGCCAAACCTTCTGCTTATATGGCAATGTTAAAAATACCGCTAAAATGACGTGACAGGAATAGAGTACAAATAAACACAAGAACACTCAGGACAGAGAAATTATAAATACATAATATAATATAATAGTACATTACAAAAGCAACTAAAGCAGGACAACAACGGCTAAAGTGTTCCAACTTCGGTTCCAAATGTCACTAGATATAAAGGAAATACAAATAATGAAATATAAGGACCTATAAAAATAGTATTTAGAAACTTGTATAATTATTTTTGTTCAAGTTTGTTCATTGACATTGCCAAACGATTCGTTTACTTTATATAGGATGGTCCTTTTGGTTTCGATGTTTGCAAGGAAAAATTGTCCGAATCTATTTGATAGTTCAATTCCATTAAAGTGTGAAGGCAAACTTACAGCGTTCGTTCTTGTTTCCCATTAGACCGTTCATGAGATTAAGAAGTTTCTTTTGGTCGTGTCCAACTTAACGAAATTTTATTTGAATAACAGTCCGTATTGCATTTCAAGAGCATTTTGCTTGTCATGCAACAATGCTCTTTGTAATAAAATTCAGAAAGGGAAATGTGTCACAGAGACAACAACCCTACCAAAGAGATGAAAACAGCCCAAGGCCACCAATGGGTCCTCAACCCAGTTAGAAAATACCGCACCCGGAGTCGGGCTTCATCTGGCCTCTAAACAAAAATTTGTACTAGTTCAGTGAAAATGGACGTCACACTAAACTCCGAAACATATAAATGAACTATAATTGAAAAAAACATACAAGACTAGCAAAGGCCAGAGGCTCCTGACTTGGGACAGGCGCAAATGAGGCGGGTTTATAATGTTTTGTGAGATCTCAACCATCTCCCTATACCTCTAGCCAATGTAGAATAAACAAACACACGGCAATACGCACAGTAAAACTAAAAAAAAGATTCGACTGAACGCATTTGTCAATGTAAGAACCAGCCCTTGTCTCAGTTATTTCAAGCAGATCTGTATTAAAGGAAATCATGTAATCGCTGATGAAAACTGATTTGTCATTAATCGATCATATATTTAACGCTGTAAATAAACTCATCAGAGTTTAACACTTTGCATACTAGACGCGCGTTTAGCGTCAATTGTTTGCATATGGTAGACACAGATGATCTCGGAATTCGTGACGGATTGTATTGATATTGCACATTTTTTGTCTTCGATAACGTTCACGAACGTATAGGTGTCGAAATAGTGTTAACTTGATGGTCAGATATATTACAACGTATATGAAAGACTAGCTAGCACGTAGAGTACATATTATTTGGTTAAGAGTAACGTTAAAATAAATGAATTCGTGTGTGTATAGTAAAAGTTATATTCATGATTCGAGAATCAATGTTGCAAATCCAATCATATGATACGTACTGGTAATGAGGCTTTACACAATAATAATTCATTGTTAACAAATGTGGTCAGCCGAGAAGACTGATCAAGGGACCACGACATAATAAAACATGGAAATGACAAAAAAGATAAAATAAAAACATAATTGAATGTCTCTTTAAATGTTTTTTTATGTTTACAACCTTTACTTTGCTTTAGCATTGATTTGCTTCAATTCCTGTTTCATCAAAATTGGGACTTTAAATTATCAGTTGATTCTTTCATTCTCTGTCCAGAATATGGTTGCACTGGATCGTAAAAAAAGGTCAAAAGAATATACTTAGTATTCATGCTTCTTCGCCTGCTTTCATCATCACAAAGATGCAGTATAACCAAATGTCAGGTGCAGTCAATTTATCACCGTTTTATAATCGTATGAAGACAAACAGGCATTCGCTTTTCAAAAGATGAAAATGAAATACATTTGAACTTGTTTTTCTCTACTTTGTACTATTTACATGTTAATTCATTGTATTTTTATTCTAACAGATCCTTCAGGTTACACTGACTCCTCCACCAGACCTTACAATAAGGGAAATATTTACTGAAAAGACGTTCTTTGTCACAGGTGATGCCATGGTAATAAAATGGACTGTTATCAATGATGGCTACAGATCACCATATGCCTTTTATTGGATTGATAACGTAGTAAGAGGTTTTGATATTATCATTGTTTATATGCCACAGAAACTAATTTGTGTGTCATAGAAATACCTTGCTACTTTAATGTTGTTCTTTATTAACATCTAATCTACAAGTGTGTAATGCCTGCTTTGAGAGAAGACATGCTTCAAAAAAGGGACCATAAAACTTAACCTTCATTTTGTAAGTCACTGTTACAAATAATACATGTCAAGTAATGATACATGCTCAGCTCTATCAGGCTGTACACGTATACAGTTGAATTAAGCTGAATTGAAATTAGACCGGACACAATTTTTAAATAACGACATTTGACTTAAATTCTTGTATTTAAGGCCAATGTCACTGGCAAATATTATATATGTATTAAATTGCGCCATACGTTTTTTTATTTTGCATGTTTGAATCTAACTACTATGGTAATCAGTTGTTAATAAGTAATTTCTAACAATTGTATTAATAACTATATGTTCATACTATTTGTAAACATATTGAAATCATGTTGAGGTCATGTTGAAGTCATGTTGAGGTCATACAAACTTATGTTGAGGTCATATGTTTTCGCGCATTTTACGATCCATTTAATGCGCAATACATTATTTGTACAGTTGCCTAAGTTAGGCGGAAAACCTTGACTAAGATTCAGATGTAGTATGTCAGGGAAACAAAATATGTAACGAAATCAAATCAAAATAACATCATTGCAAACTTCAGGTTACTAGAAATGTAGATAGAAATATGAAGATTCCAATTATTTGAAAGCTGAACGGTTATTATTTTTGTTAGTATAAAAATTATAAATTGGTCATATATAAACAATATATCTTTTGATATAGTTTTCATACTATGCAACTGTAATTACTCAGTCTAGTTCTCGTCTTCATTTGAAATTATTGTAACAGTACAGTAAACTAACGAATAAGTGTTCCTAATTTACAGAAATTGAATTTATTGGAACAACCTGGTAGATCCTATAATATAGGTCAACAATCATATAGTACAAAACTGGACCCAACAATGTCATACAGTCATTCAATCACTTATAATATTCCCGCAAATGTCCAATCTGGCACTTACAACATCAGTGTTATCACAGATTACTATAACCATGTTTTTGAATTTCAAAATGAGGACAATAATGGTCTAAATAAAGAGATTGAAATACAAAAATCTTTACCAGATTTGTTCGTGAACAACATTTCTGTTGAAGTAAAGTCAAATGTGACATTCAACTCAATCAGCGTTTCGTGGACAGCTGAAAACACAGGCAAAGGAAAAACACTAATTTCAAGGTGGATGGATAAACTAATTGCTGTTGTTCACTCCAATAATGAATCAGATTACATATTAGGACAATTCTACGGTGGGGATGGCCACATATTAAGTCCTAATCAGAGTTATATTATACAAAATGAATTGGTGCTACCACCATATGTGTATGGCGATGTGTTTTTCCGTGTCCATATTGATTACTTGAGTCAAACTGCTGATAATAATTGGAATAATAATATGAAAATGACACACATTTTTAATATATCTCTCAAATCGCCTGATTTGTACATACACAAATTCAAAGTTATATCTGATGAAGTATATAGCGGTGGCCAACTTGAATTGGAGTGTTCAGTAGGTAACCTAGGTGTTACCATTCAATCGAACCAAAGGTGGTACCATAAAATCATTGTATCCTCTACTAGCTCACAGTATACAGACATTGATTCAGAAGAATCAGTACAATTTGGACCTTTACATACAGAACAGATCTCTCGTACAACAACTTTACTTCAAATTCCCAAATTACTCTATGGTGAAGTATACCTGCATTGTATTGTAGAAACAACAGATGACATGTTTGAAGGCCGAGAGCCTTCAAGAATAGAAAATAACCACAAAATTATTACTCTTTTTGTTAACAGACCGCCATCGCCTGATCTGCTAATTGACTTTTTAAAAGTTTCGTTGAAGAATTCGTCATCAAGTCAATCATTAGTTTCCGTTACCTGGTCAGTACATAATAAAGGAAATTCTATGCCTTTCCGGTCTAATTGGTTAGATGCAGTTGGAATATCACGTCAAAACTATGTACAAATATCAGATATAGCTAGACATATTGAAATACTATATACTTTTGAAATAATGTATGGACTTGAATCATCTGCATCCTACTCGATGTCGAAAACAGTTGTTATTCCAAAACAATATGTTGGAATATACTACGTATATGTTATCACTGACTATGCAGATACCATTTTTGAATTCAATGAAGAGGATAACAATATAGCATTGAGCAAACCAATCGTGATACCTCCGATTCCAATGTCTCAACTTAATGTATCTTTTCTTTTCAATGAAACCATGCTATCACCTGGAAGTAGCATAAGTACTTCCTTTCTTACAGAAAATACTGGATCAGCCCGAACACGTTTGACATCGTGGGAAGATCTCGTTTACATGTGTCCAATACAGAATGCATCAAAACAAGTTTTACTCGATTCAGGATATTTACTTTCAACAACACTGCACGTTGGAGCTTTAGACCCTGGAGAGACATATTTGACAAACGTCACCCTTATTATTCCCAATGATATTAACAGTCAAATATTCTTTTACGTTATATCTTTTGATGATGATGAGACAGGATTGTCTGTAGATTTAAGTTCTCAAGCCTCGTCCCTGTATTTTCACAAGATAGCAATATATGTTGAACACAATAGGCTCCCGAATATGATTGTTTCTGCAAATGAAAGTATCGGACCCCAAAAAGGTGGTCAACCTCTTTTAATTAGTTATAACTTTACAAACAATGGAGTTATTCCTTCTTCAAGAGTATTTTACAATAGTTTTTATCTTAGTGACGATTACCTCCGAGATGAATTTGATCTTAAACTGATAACCAGCTATTATTCCGAATCTATAGAAGTGAATGAAACAATAAATGATACAGTTTCAGTATTTCTTCCATATGATTTAAAGAGCAGAAATTATTTCATAATCATTGAAGTTGACAGTGGAAATGCTGTATACGAGTTTGATGAGTTAGATAACGAGTTTGTTATTTCGATGTCAATAGAGCAAACACTGAGCACTGACGTTGCTGTAGTCGACGTTAAAACAGCTGAAATGGTTTCATATGGGGATAATTTAGAAGTTCACTGGAAACTTCGTAATAATGGAACTATAAGTGCACAGGGTTATACATGCGATTCGGTTTTTCTCTCTGCAGACAGAAAATGGGATATTGAAGACAAACAGATAGGACAAACTACATGTAGATTTGTTACTTTACAACCCTATGATCATTTAAGTTCAATTACAGATGTTAGTAATTCTCTAAGTGGAAAAATACCGGAAATGTCCGAAGCTTCATATGTGGCAATGGTAAAATCTAGATCCAATATACTAGACAAATATTTGGAGAATAATGTCGGGTTCAGCTATAATGGAACAAATATCAAAGTAACGCATTTATATCTCAACACTGTACATGACATAAGAATTGGTACAGATAATGCGAAATTGTTCCTTTTACCAAATATTTCATCAGAGGAAACAATAGTTATAAGGTCTGAATGTAAAAGCATCGACACATTTTATGAGATAAAAGTTAAATATGGAAAAGCGGCCACAGATGTTGATTTTGATTATATTTCTGATGACCCTTTTAAATCCAACCAAACAATTATTATACCTATGACAAAATTTGGTAACTATTATATACTAGTAACTACTACAAACTCAGGTGATCATGTTTCGTCAGTAGATGTTAATCTATTTGTGAAACTTGCTAGATTTGAGATACTAAGTGTATTTCCGACTCGAGCAATTCCGCTTGGTAATGCAACATTAAAAATTGAAGGAACACTGTTCCCAGAGGAGTTAGATATGACGCTCTTTGGTACAACGTTAGGAGAATTGAAACCGCTCAAGATATTTCGATTTTCATCGACACTTTTGTATGCTACATTTGATTTCCGTTTAACGATTCAAGGTCAGAGGTTTTCGTTAAATCTCACCAACTCATTGACTGGAAACACAACCGTATTAGAAGATGCATTAGAAATTAGCACTGGAGAAGTTGGTAAAGTATCTACTCAAATAGACATGCCAAATGCACTACTTCCAGGTCAACGTGGTGTAATGTATCTTTATATCAAAAACATTGGAGATACGGATATCGTTTCACCTCTCATATTTATCCAAACAAATGGAATTGCTCATTTGAATTTCGAAAGTGACTCTGAGGAAGTGCAGTTCTGGGAGCAAAATATCATAATTGCTAGTTCTGAAAATACACCAGGAGGTGTTTTACCTCCAGGCGCTTCATATAGATTCGTGTTCAATGTCAAACAAATAGAAAATTCGAAAATTGGGAGAAGTAAGATAAGTGTAAGCTTAATTAAACCATTGAAAGAGACGAATCATGTATATTTTTCTACCAAAGATCACCTGCGAACTAGCGATATAAACGACGAGGCATGGGATCGAATATGGGACAATTTTATTCAGTTGATAGGTACAAGCTGGTATTCCCTTAACTGGAAGGTATCTGAAATAATGAATCAGTTAAGTCTCGCTGGACGTAATGTTATTCAGCTGTCAGATATAGTTGCAATGTTACTAGACATGGCTGGTGGACATAATGAGGACACAATACTGACTCAAGAAAACGACATTATAGTAAGAAGAAAGTCAAGAAATCTGGGTTTAGATTTCAGGAGGTTCTTTTCATCAAAAGTATTTTCTAGATATCATAAAAGCGTGATGGGAAAGGGATGGATGCTTCCTTATTGGTATGTACGAAAACACGCACATTTAAAAAAGAAATTGTTAACGTATTAAACCCATGAAGGAATTTAAAATAAATACAGACTAAAAATAAAATATAAAGAACTATAAATATATAGATAAGATTTCAACAAAAAAATTCTCCAAAAGACAGTTTCAAATCGTTTGTTGCTGTGTTACATATTTGTTTTTCGTTCATTTTTTTGTACATTAATTATGCCGTTAGTTTTCTAGTTTGAATTGTTTTACATTTGTGATTTCGGGACCTTTTATAGCTGACTATGCGGTATCGGCTTTGCTCATTGTTGAAGGCCGTACGGCAATAACATTTCAGATTAAACGACTGTTCTGGCTTGTAGAGATATAAGACTCCGAAAACATTCCTCGCTAGTGCATATCGTAACGATTAACCAATTCGTGACGGAAACCGTAAAACTGATTTTGTGTCGATATTAGTCGTTCTTACTCATAATTCTGTTGGTAGTTTTTTTTTGTAAGAAGTACACCCCTGCTATTGTTTCGATTTCAGTCGTTTTTATTCATAATTCTGTTGGAGGAGTTTTTGTGTAAGGAGTACACCCCGCTAAAGAAGTCCGTATAGTGTTACGAGCGAAACGTTCAAAAGTAAAATCACAAAAATACCGAAAATTCAAAACGGAAAGTCCCTTATCAAATGGCAAAATCAAAAGCTCAAGCACATCAAACGAATGGATAACAACTGTCATATTCCTGACTTGGTACAGGCATTTTCCTATGTAGAAAATGGTGGATTAAACCTGGTTTTATAGCTAGCTAAACCTCTCACTTGTGTGACAGTCTCATAAAATTCCATTATATTGACAACGATGTGTGAACAAAACAAACAGACATAATAGGTGAAAATGTCAAAATAGGGGTACAACAGTCAACATTGTGTTATAATCTTAATTACTATAAAAACAAACAAATATGTAATAAAGAAACACAAAAGGGCATATAGACAAAGCAAATAAGCAAAAATGAATGACAAAAACTTACCATAGCACAATAACACAATGACGGGATGTACAAGTACCGAGCCACGTCAAATGGATATCACAAAAAAATACACTAAACAGTAAAAGTAATATTCCAAATGACAAATAAAAGAATACTATAACATGTTATTAAGATGATAAATAACGTGAGTACCCAGAATCTATACTTGAAGACCATCGTGTATTATTTGTGAAGTTGATACAAATATAGACATGTAAATGATATACGATGAGACAGAGGATATTTTACTGCTGAAAAAAGGGAAATTGATAATTGAAAAATCATCACTTTTGTCATTGATTTTTTATATAAATAATCTTTGGCATAATCAGGGGAATAAATAAAACATAAAGCAGACCTTCTAGTTTCGGAAGTATCCTTAATGTCAAGTTCACTGGGATATATGAAATACAAGCACTCACTGAAAGGTGGGTTATTGAGTGAGAGGACATCACGTTACATGTATTTCTGCTTTGTACCGATCTGTTGAGTTAGCCCTTTTCAACTAATTTTAATAGGTTGTTCTTATGTTGTGCTGTTACACCACTTTAGAGGAAGGTTGGCACCTTCAAACTAGTTGAACCCCGCCAGATTTTGCATGTGCCTATCCCGAGTCTGTAGCCTGTAATTTAGTAGTTGTCGTTTGTTGGTGTATATCATATTTGTTTTTCGTTCATTATTTTGTACATAAATCATCCCTTTAGTTTTCTCGTTTGAATTGTTTTACATTTGTCATTACGAGGCCTTTTATAGCTGACTATGTGGTATAGGTTTTGTTCATTGTTGAAGGCCGTACAGTGACCTATAGTTGTCAATTTCGTTGTCATTTGGTCTCTTGCGGAGATTTGTCCCATTGGCAATCATACCACATCTTCCTATTTTTATATCAAATACATGAAAGTAAAATGCAAGATGTTTTTCTTTTTAAATTTGGAAAATTTATATCAATTCGGCTTTATATGAGTCCAAAAACAAGGGGGGCACACTTAGTACCAATTTGAATACCGAATGAAATGCATCAACCAAACTCAACAAATAAGATATATATTAGTACAACGATGCCTGAAAAAATGTTTTACTATAGATCTGTTTCAGAAACATCATTTAATGGTTTTTATTTACATATGAGAATGTTTTGACTAACATATATCATTTCACTGGAAAATGAAGAAATATAACAAATGGTTGAAAAGTTTCTTTAAAATGTCTTTGAAGAATAAATATTATGTTTCGACACTTTGAACGGGACCGTACTTTCTGAAATGATTAATTCTGAACGTAATTTTTCTTCAAATAATTTAAACTTTGTTCATGAAACTAATGAATAGTCTGTACCGCATTAAAAGCAAACAAAGTTGACTGTCTTGACGTACCAGAAAATTGAATAAATAAACAGTGACTCTCGTCATATTTTCGAACCTAAATTATTACAGTGAAATATTAAGGACGTTTAATCTTAAATGTCAAGCATATGGGTCAACAAAGTTTTAGTGTTACTCAATATATACATAAAAAAAAAACGATTCTCGATATTAATGATTTCAACAAATAGATAATAATAAATGAATAAACTTTTTAGGAGTACACATCTCAATGCAGTGCATTATGACGAAGCTAATGTAACATTCAATGGGAAGAGTTATATTTTTGAGAGGCAAGTTGATGGCATATACCAAAACAAATATCTTGGCGAATTGCGTTTTTCAAGTAATGGCACCAACAGTAAGTAACAAATTTTTTTTTATATAATAACTAAACACAGTAAAGACAGTTAATTGTCACATTAACACGTTATAAGATTCATTCAAATAACATAAATAACTTTGTTGAATGCTCTGGTCTTTTATCAGTTAGAATAAGAAACATCAATGTTTCATTCAATGAAATGTAGACCTTAACTTTTGTTGGATCGTTTGCTGCATGTATGGGTCCTCTTGATTGATTGATTGATTGGTAGGTGTTGAACGCCACTTTTAGCACCTCAATACAGATAGATTTTTTTCTGTGTAAAGAGTTCACCTATTGTAAAGAGTATTGCTCTGTGTCCTGTTTTTTTTTAATTCAATTTCAAAACCTTAAAATATTTTCCTTACGGCTAATTGGCGTAGTATTCAGGATTTCATGTATTGATCAATATATATGTTTTCGTCACACATTTTTACCAATATAAGGAATTCTATGCGCGACTGTCATACCAGTGAGAGGTTAAGCTAGCTATAAAACCAGGTTTAATACACCATTTTTTACATAAGGAAATGCCTGTACCAAAACAGGAATATGATAGCTGTTTTTCATTCGTTTGTTTGTGTGAGCTTTTGATTTTGACAATTGATAAAGGTCTTTTTATTTTTTTTTAATTTTCCTTGGAGTTCGGTATGTTTTGGTTATTTTACCTTTTAGTTATTTTTAATTGTAATTACACCAAATGAACATTTGCTCTGTATGCATCAGTCCCTTTGACTCACACCAGAATGTTTAAAGCCGGGACTATGCTGACATGTCATTTTTCTAGTTTCCCTGAAGTACCGGGTGCCATTGATTGTATTTTGAAGGACTTTTATTATCATTATAATATAACCCTAAATGCATATACGATCATTTTAACAGTCGTTTTTTCGTTCATTGAAATCCAAAACATCACTACAGCAGTACGGATTGTCTTCTTCTGTGTAAAGAATTAAACTTGTACTAAAAACGTGTTGTTCTTTGTCCTATATATTTATTCAATTTCCAAACCTTCAAATTTGTTTCATATGTGCAATTGGCAATATATACTACGGAAGCGGTACAAAATTGCAATTCTGTAAATATAGACTTATGCAATTTCCCATAGGAACTCCCTTTACGGATAAAACTGTACCACTTCTATTATGAAGCTTCGTAAAAAATTATATCCTAGAATGGAAAGCTCATATTCACTACTATTTTTTCAAAGGTAAAATATAGGGCTGTGCTGCATATTTTCAACATTTATATGCACCGAACTTCTAAGAGTTTAAACTTATACTAAAATTCCCCCTCCCTTCACTTTGGGTCTTCCACAGATTTCAATTTGACCGCTATGCATGTGTATATTTACTGATAACATTCCCAAGATATGTCTTTACGAGATGAATCATAGAGATCATATATGTGAACCAGTATGTAAACAAAATAAAATATCTATGAATATTTAATATCCTCCCCAAAAGAGGCGTGGTTTGTGAAAAGGCTGTATTTACAAAGTTCAACCTTTAATTGTACATACTGTGTATCAAACTTGAATCTCTATTATCACGGTAACCTTTCAATCAACTTAAAGGAAATGTTTGTTAAAGGTATAAATGTAGCTTTAGGTAACAAAACATATTTTTTCTTATCAAGTTCCCCCCAAAAAAAATTTCCTCCAAAAGTATGAACACCTTTTATTAAGAGATAAAAACAGAAAACTTACAATGTATAATGAACTTTTTAAATGTCTTAGCAAAGAGGATGCGGGAGCCCTATAGTTTTCACTTTGTCCGTCTGTCCGTCTGTCCGCCTGTATGTCTGTCTGTCTGTCCTTTGTTAACATTTTTAGCACACAGGGGCACGAAGGTCCCCAGGTGAGCTTATGCCATCACTTGGTGTTCGTCGTCGTCCGTCGTCTGTCGTCGTCGTCGTCATAAACTATTTGAAGAATCTTCTCCTCTGAAACTTTTGGGCCAAATACCTTCAAACTTTAACTGAATGTTCCTTAGGGTATATAGTTTATAGATTGTGTCCGAAGTTTTGATCCATCAACAAACATGGCCGTAATGGCTTAAAATAGAACATAGGGGTCAATTTTGGCTTAAATCTCAAAAACTAAAGCATTTAGAGCAAATCTGACCTGGGATAAATATGTTCAATAGGTCAAGATCTATCAGCCCTGAAATTTTCAGACGAACCAACAGTTATTGGTTATTATCTTGAATATTATAATAGATAGAGATAAACAGTAGCAGCAATAATGTTCAGCAAAGTAAGATCAACAAAAAAGTTTATTTGACCAAGATTGTCAATCGACCCCTAAAGGAGTTATTGCCCTTTAAAGACAATTTAACGCAATTTGTTCACCATGTCTGCTAACATTTAAAAATCTTCTCCTCTGAAACTACTGGGCCTAATACTTCTAAACTTTAACTGAATGTTCTTAGGGTATCTTGTTTATAAACTGTATCCGAAGTTTTGATCCATCAACAAACATGACCGCCATGGCTAAAATAGAACATATGGGTCAAATGCAGATTTTGGCTTATATCTCAAAAACTTAAGCATTAAGAGCAAATCTGACAAGGGATAAAATTGTTCAATAGGTCAACATATATCAGCCCTAAAATTGTCAGATGAACCGAACAACCCATTGCTGGGTTGCTGCCACTAAATTGGTAATTGTAAGAAAATTGTGCAGTTTTTGTTAATTATCTTAAATATTATTGAAGATAAAGATAAACTGTAGTGTTCAGCAAAGTAAGATCTACAAATAACTTCATTTGACCGAAATTGTCAATTGACCCCTTAAGGATTTATTGCCCTTTAAAGACAATTTTTCATAATTTGTTCATCTAGTTTGCTTACTTTAAAAAATCTTCTCCTTTGAAACTGCTGAATCAATTCAGCCAAACTTGGGCTAAATGAGTTTCAGAGTATCTAGTATAAATTTTGTATTTTATTTCCTTGAACGTCCAGAAACATAGCCACTATGGCTAAAATGGAACATAAGGGTAAAATGCATTATCTTGCTTTTGAAGAAAATATGACAGATACAAAGAACATTTAAATAGCATTTTAAAGCCACTCATTAATGTATAGTGAAAAGCAAAAATAATCATTGATGAAAGATTTAAGGAAAAAATTACAGGTGAGCGATTCAGGCTCTTGAGAGCCTCTTGTTTGTAAACGCAAAAACTCCAAAATCATAGAAATGAGGCAAATGACATTTTGGACATAATTTGTAAATGTACATAATTAAATATGTTTGAGTGAAATTCGGTACATTAATTTTAGAAAAAAAATCGATTTTGTTAAAAATCACAAATGTTGAAAAAAAATGTCATCTTATAATAAGATTTAAACATAAACTGATGTTTAGGTGTATATAGTTATTTCTAAAGAATAATGAAAAATTAAGAAAAAATGTGAAATTTTCAGCTAAACGTCTTCTTGTGGTAGGATGTCTTCAAGTTTGATATAGGCATAATTTGCATCCCAAATTGTTTCCTGGAGTCAAAATTGTGTTTAGATTTTGTTAAAAATGCTAACTTTACGAACCAAATTTTTTTGCTAAGATTTATTTGCTATTACGAAATGATTCGCTGTGCCAAAATTATTAGTTGCCCATCATTTACGAAAAATGCTGAAAACTATATGTGTTTTGATTTCAACAAAACATATTTTAATTGAGAACACATCTTGAATTGGTTCCTGGTGTCCAAATTTATGAAAATAGACAACCGATGAACATTTGCTTTGTATGAATCAGTCTCTTTACCTCGCACAAAATCTATAACGCTAATGCTTCACAATATTTTTTTACGTTTGTAGATCTTACATATATTTATATCGACAAAATTGAAGGCAGAGAGTATTTATATTCAAATGAAACAGGATTACTGATTGCTATAAAGTCCATAAACGACAATAGTTTTGTCAAATTGCATTATAAAGATAACCAGTTACAGCAAATAGAACATTCTGATGGCCCTTTCTTAGTCATGACCTACAACGAAAGAGGTTTTATTAACTGGGTTGAATTAAGAAATGATTCAGATAATGAACAGGAGAGGTACGTTATATATAAAAGTAAGTAATAAGTTCTGATGCCTTCTCTTTTGATGAAGGGGAAAGAAGACTTTTAAGTGCTCTGAAATTGTATACGGCTGGCTGTTTCTAAAATCGCTGAACCGTTACCAGGAGTGTAACCGTATCCTTGTCAGTGCTTAACAACTTTATAACTTCCATGCCTCTTCTCGACATGAATTACTACACCTGATCGGTTTCAAGTTTGTAAAATAGCGTCTGCATAATTTTATGAAATAAAGACAGAAAAACAAATTTAAGAATATGTATGAAAACTATTAAATTTGCAGTAATGCTCCTATTCCTCTACAGTGGGTCATAAAAAACACTTTAGTTAGTTTCTAGTTTCTGTTGTTTTAATGTTTTATTATCCCCTTTTTAATTTACGTTGTTTTTTTTTTATATTCCATCTTACTTAGATTCAATCTTACGTAATTTGAAATTTTCTATTAATGCTGTAACCGGATGTTTTTATGGTCTCACTCATTAGAGACAAATAGTTCAATAAGTGTCAAGGGGCGACAAGATGAGTTAAGAAATGACAGGAAGCGTGAAGAAGCGACAATAAGTATACTTTAGCGACAACATATATGTTAAGCGTCAAGGAATCTAAATATATATTATTTCAAATAATTATACCAGAAACACTATATATATACATTTATTGTTAAAATTATTGACACTGACGAAGGCTATTTGTTAAGCCGAAATATTTGTCAACACGATTTTATAAAGTCATCTTCGTACATTACCATCTTATTTTTGTACCGTTGTGCAAATCTTTAGACTTATATATATATATATATATATATATATATATATAAACAAGCCTAAATTGAAAACAACGTTCAAACCTATGATTGCGTTGGATAAAAACCGCATTTTTTTTACGTGTGCATGCAAAACAAATTTCTTGGTAGAGGGGTCTAAATACAGCACAAACAACATTTTCCAAAAGACCAAAAAAGTGAAAAGTATATTTTAACAAATCCATTTGACTAGCAGGTCGAACAACGGATGTTCTTAAACCCTGCTGACTGCCATTGGCGATTGCCAAATAAACGGATCACCAGATGTAACAAAATGGCTCTTAACTATTAATTTGATACCAAACAGAAAACAATAAACTTGCGGAAAAGATGGTATACCGCAAACAAAAGGTGCAAAAAATTATTACACCATATCCGGATTTCGACAATTAATGTCTCTTCAGTGATGTTAGGAATCGAAACGGTATTTGGAAGGCCATATGATTTACCTCAATTTAGGATTGACTCTTGAATTTTGAAGAGTCGAAGTAGGATGAACGGATCATATAAACCCGAAGGGAAATATAATACAAGCCCAAACGAAAAAATATAAACAAGTCTAAATTTTAAAACATACAAATTTATATGCTTTCTTCAAGAACGTCATCTTGTCGATTAAATTCTACTTATCGCTTATTAGTGAGGTTGTGTTTTTGAAGTAGATTTCATTAATATATTCTTTTACAAAATACAAAGAAATTGTGTTACCGAACTTGTTTTCTGGCTACAAGTAAAAAATGAAATTTTCTTTAACCTTTCTTTATATAAAATTTTACTATAAGAGTTATCTCCCCATATATGGTTAAATCAAAAAATGGTATCGAATTATAGCAAATACTTGGTATTCGTAAAAACAGTCTTAACAAAACAATAAATCACTTATTTTTCTTTATTTAATTGTCTTTATGTCCCAAAATTTGTAGATTTAAACAAAGAACTAGACCTATTGTGTACCGCTACTTTACAATCCAAGATAGCGGTATACAGTTAATCGACGATAGGTTAAATACAAAATAAAATCTATGCTAATAAACAATGTATATTCAAAGAAACAAAATATTTAAGCAGGCTATAAAGCCTTTCACCAGTCTTTAATGCATTGGGTCAAATAACATTCAAATAGGTAAGTTATGATCATGGGTTTTACGTTTTGATGCAAGGTAGGACAGCCTGCAAGCCATCTTGAAACTATAGAATCCTACGCGATATTTGTGGGTGTGCAAAAGTGATAAGGGATCTACAGAATATAATATACATTGCTTGCTAGCATAGATTTTATTTTATATTTAACCTAAGTCGATTTACTGTATACCGCTATCTTGGATGTAAAGTAGCAATACACAATAGGTCTAGTTCTTTGCTTAAATCTACAATTTTTGAGACAGAATGACAATTAAATAAAGAAAACGTTGGTTTTTTTTAAGCTAAAACACCCACATTGACCTCCATTTTTGTATTTGTATGCGGATGATGATGTATTAAATTTAAAAAGGTTATACTAAAATTGAAATGAAAAATATAAATGATAAAAATAAATTTTGTGTTTTGAGTTGTAAAATAATTGAGCTATTATTTCATTAGTATATATGACTATGATATGGACAACGACTGGTTGATATCGTCGGATGTAAATGGAAAGATTACACGCTATGAATACAATAGTGACAACTCTATAAAGCGGATAAAATATTCATCTGGATCTATAGAAGAATTTGAATATTACCCTCAAGGATGGTTGAAAAGTATTGAACTGATTACGAATGGCACACAAATGGCTAACAAAGTGTATACCTTTATCGGTGAAGCAATAATTACTACCTTAACTCAACCGGACAATGTGACACAGACATTAACTTACGATGAAAATGGAGAAATTGCTTTACGTAAACGATTTGGATTCTCAACTGAAAAAATTCAGAATACAGAGCATGATAAAATAGTATCCCAAGGCGATTTCGTAACTATAAATATTTGCGAAGGAAATTTCTTCATCATTAAAAATAAACGCATCTTCAGTTACTGGGGCATTGATTGTATTTTAAGTGATGAGCTGTTCAAAATGCTTTAAAAATTTGGTTGTCATGCGGTTTTCAATTATATTGGTTTTATAGAAATGTATATTTTTTAAAAGTCATTCTTAATTTATTATTTATATTTCTTAAAAGGTTGATATTTTATTTTACATTTATAACTAATTAAACATTGTATTTTGTTCACACTCTTTACAGATAGTTTCCAAAAACATATATGATGAACTGACGAATTCAGTATTATGCGAAGATGCTAACGGGGACTTTGTGACTGTATCGTACAATGATCATGGACGTGTTACAGTTTTGAAGGATAGCGACAATAATGCGTATTCAGTGACATACAATCCTGACGGCAATATAAGGGCTGTCCTGTACCCAGATAATACTACAGAAGAATATGATTATGAAAAAAATGAACGAAATTTTAAAAGTAGGTCTGGGGAAAACATTAGATCTGAAATAGATGATAATGGAAATGTTCTTGTAAAAGACTTTGGAAACGATCGCGTTTATTCATTTTCTTACGATAAACAGCATAGGTTGAAAGAGGCAAGAATGGAAATGGGAACAACTTCCATTGGCTACACTTATAATGGTTTACCAGAGTATGTCAAGTTTCAATACTTTGAAAAAGATATATATGTAAACTATAGTCTAAACGAAAATTTTCAGAAATCCAGTATGAAATTGTCTTTAGAGGGGTATGATGTAAATTATGAATACAATTCAAGAAATTTGCTTACACGGGTAATCAATTCTTACGACAATACAAGTTTGTTGAAGGTAGAATATAACGAAAAGATGCAATTGAAGAAAAAGATATTAGGTAACGGTGCAGAAACTGTGTACTCCTACTTTGTGGGTACGGACCTGCTGAAAGGTGTATATAACTACTTACCAAATGGAAATCTAAGCTCAAAATTTGAATATCTATATGACCTACGACAGAGAAGAATATCACTGAAAACAATGGATGGCAACTGGAAATTTCGATATGATCCATCTGGACAATTAACGTACGTCAAACATCCAGATGGCACCGTGAAAACTTTACAGTATGATAAGCATAAAAATCGCAAAGCTGTAGCTATAAATGATATTCGTAAAGAATATACTGCAAATTCATTAAACCAATATACAAAATATGGGAACGATCAGACGTTCAAACACGATAAAAATGGTAATTTGATCTCAAAAGATGGACCAACGAAAGAAGATTTTATATTTAATGCTGAAAATCAATTAGTCCAATTCAGAACATCAGATAACGAATGCACGTTGGAGTATGATGGTCTCAAAAATCTTGTACGAAAAAGTTGTGAAAATGAACGTACAGAATATGTTGTTGATGCATTTGGGCGATTTGGACAAGATATTTTAGCAGAGGTATTGTATAGACTATATATTTTTTTTAATCAACCCAACACATGAGTATTAACGCTAAATATTTCAGTTGGAATTAACCTTTTTTTATTACCTTGCCTTTATTCATACACATGCATGGACCATAATGAGAATAAATACCAAAGGGCCATAGTATATTACAAGACGAAAAATCACTGACAAAGTGTTCACAAAATAACAATACTTAGATTCAGCAATACGAATCCCAATAAAAACTGTTCATGGTCTCATGTGCTTATGTGCTCCAAAAGGGCCAGATGTTGCTCCTTCATAAGTGATGGGCACAATTCATAATTCTTATCACATTAAAACATTAAAAAAGCATTAATGAGTGTAAAAAGTTTATGAGGTTTTGACATGATAAACAAACTATTTTCTTTTGAGTTAGGCCAATTGCAAGTTTACAAAATATATTTTATAGTTTATTCTTATGTTGTGCTGTTACACCACTGTTCATGTTTAACCCCGCCACATTCTTGTAGTGCCTGTCTCAAGTCAGGATCCTGAAGTTCAGTGGTTGTCGTTTATTCATGTCAATATATTTGTTTTTCGTAAAAATTGGGTTGTTATAATTTAAACGTTATTTTTCTTGTTTGAATTTGTTTCCCATTTTTCATGTCGGAGTCTTTTATAGCTGACTTTAAGGTATTTACGTTTGAACTCTGGTGGATAACTGTCTCAATTGCAATCATACCACGTCTGCTTATCTTTATATAGAATAAAAAATACAGTGAACTTTTAAAGGAGAGAGGCCGACTGTGTCGACGGAATTAACATTTAGACTGTTGTTGACATAATCGAGGTTTGAATAAACTTAACGATTAACTGAATGTAGAAAGGCTAAAACATATTTCTTTGGACCTAATTTAAATACCGTTCACAGACCTATTTTCACACATTACTCATCGTATCGAAACCTCGAGATACAAACGTTACAGCCATTTTCTTTTAGAAAACAGCAACATAAAAAAAGGTACAAAGCCATTTTCTTTACAATTTAAAATGTCCACTGTTGTGTTTGGATAAATGTTTAGTCTTTTGGTTGACATTCTTTGCCATGGCGTTCTCGGTGTATCTCGACTTAAAAGTTTTGAATGCCCTCTTGGTATCTTTCTCTTTTTTTTTGTTATCCCTGCATGATGCTGATTCATGTCCCCATAAGTGGTATTTGATACGCTATCCATATAATGTAATTAAAAAAAAACAACACATAATGCAGATGTTAACGATGCATGTCACATAGCACTTTTCTCCTTAAAACTTACTGTATCAAGTGCTTTTGTTCGTTCGAAAATGAAAATCACAGAAACATTTCTGATATTTTACATTGAAATTAGACGGACTAATATGACATTCAAAATAAGACAACTATGATGAATAATCTTTACGTCTTTTTTTACATAGAATAGTTATATATTTGCATAAATGAGGACAGATGTTTCAGAATGGTCACCGGTTTTTATGCGAAATGAATTATATCAAAATCACTTGTCATGCATTTTAAACAATAGAAAACTACAGGTTATATAAGAATGGACCTGCTTTAATAATCAAATTATGAATATGAAATGTTTGGAATTTTTCCTTGATCAGTATTTCAAGTGTTTCATTTAACTGAAAGGCATAATAACAAATTCTTTCATTCCTTTTATTGGATAAACACGAGATAAATCCATGACACTTTTTTTTTAAAAATATATCAACTTTTCTTTCATAATACTTGATTGGACTAATAGATAACGTACAAAGGCGAATCTACAGATACCCAACTATATTTCCATGGCGGTGATCAATTAGGATTAATAGCTATGAAGAATAAGAATGGATATTACTATTACCAATTTGATCCAATGGGGTAGGTTTTTTATTTCGCTTTTAACAAAAATGTCACTATTCATTATGATGACAGCAGCAGTTTTATGTTATACATATTATGTTATACATATATTGTCTGGTTTTTATGCTCCCCGTAAAAAATTTCGGCGGCAAATAGTAATCGCTTTACCGCTCGTCCTTCTATCATTGAGTCAGAAACAGATTGTTTTGGTATAACTTAGTATCCCTTGCTTAATTGTAATTAAACTTATACAGATGGAATGTAATTGGAATGGCATAAAACCTGTTGAATTTGGGGACAAGGATAAGGTAATTACTAAAAATAGAAATAAAATGAAAAAAGGGGGACCAACCTAGTATTTGGGGTTCTATATATAGGCTTAAGATCTAGATGGCTGCTCCTTAAAAATAGGGAAAAAATCGGAAATCTTTTCCGAGTGGCAACTTAAATTTCCCTTACTTGATTGGTAAGAAACTTGTGCATATGGTAGATATTGAGGATGGGAATCCGCCTATTATTTGGAGGTCTAAAGGGATAAGATCAAGATCGCTGCTACCTAAATAATATAAGAAAAATGGAAAAAATAAAAAATAGTTTCTGCATCGTAATTTTAGTTTTCCTAGCTTAATAAGAATGAATCTGACACAGTATAAGTAACCTTTATTTTGGATTGGTCATTAGGTTAATGGTCAAGGTCACTATTACTAAAAAAGAAACATTATTGAAATCTGAGCTCCTCTGTCTTGATTGGAATGAAACTTATACAAATGAGAGATATAGGGGCGTGAAATAAGCCTAAATAATTTGGGGCCAATAGATCAAAGTTCAATACCACTGTAACTAAAAGAAGAAAAATAAGAAAAAAGGTTTTTGGTTGGTAACTTGACTAGAATGAAACTTGATGGCAGATAGAGTGGAGGGAGAATCATTTGTCATTGTAAGCCTTTTACATGTATCATCACTTTAAAGTTCATTATTTATAAGCATATTTGACGAGTATTTGGACCAAGCGCCGATTCAAGTATTAAAAAAAGCAAAAGTTTTAAGATAGAAAATAGCATCAGAATATTGTATAAAAATAATTTACTTACTGTATTAAAACCAAAATAGTTTTAGCAGTTTAAATGTATGTAACATCCTCATTTTACATATAAAATTATTGTTAAAAGCGTGCAAAATGTCATGCAGACAATCCAAAATTTATAAACGGGATGAATTCATTACTGAAAACTTACAGTTAGTAAACATCAATATATATAGTCCATTAAAACATAAAATGTAGGCATCGCTGTATACATTTTAATGATTCCTATATGTATGCTGGTGTGTATCTATGATACCAGGGTTTAAGTAGCTACGATATATAACTGTCTAATCGGTACTTTGCATCATTTGTCGTTTTGTTGAATGTTTTTGTGCTTCATGTCGATATAATTTTTCAAGCCCGTTTTATATAGCTGATTTGACCATTTGTATTTTTGTTGTGCTGTTACACGACTGTCCCAGTTAGTTAGAAACATTTTCCTCGCCACAAACTTGTTGTGCCTGTCCCGGGTCAGTAAAGTGTCGTTTAATCGTTTTCGCTGGTTGCTATCTGTCAAATTTATAGTTCATTTATTATTTTTTTATTGCTTCATGTTTCTTATTGCCGGAGTTTTAATAGCTTACTCTACGGTATGCATTGTGCTCATTGTTGGAGGCCGTATGATGACCTAAAGTTGTTTTTATCTTTGCTCTAAGGTCTCCGGTAAATACTTGTCTCATTGTCAGTTATTGTTCATCTACTTATATTTTGACATAACTTATAATAATTTAGTACGATAAACCTGCGTTTTGTCTAAATAAAACTCATCTTTGTCCCCCGATACGAAATAATTGGAAGGCCAAAATGGAGTAGAACGCTGAAGAGCAATAAAAAGTCAATGTTTAAAAAAATCATTAATATCCATTAAATATCAGTATAAGTCGATAGTAAACATCAACGAGGTAATCGTGATTGTGGTTATTGTAATGACAAAAAATAAATAGTAAAAAGCCTTTATATAATGACTTCCACTGTAACGTTTTAATGTATACATTAATTTTTTATAAAAGACTTCAACCCTCCGCCTTTTTAATCTCGATCAGTAAATAAAAAAACATACAAAAGAAAGTGCTAAATTAACAGTATAATAGAAAATCAAAACACACAAAAAATACAAATTATGACATTTTTTGTTAAATTTATGAAATGTATGCAACAGTTTGCACATATTTGGTTAGGTTCTTGTCTTCTGATTAATATTGTACATAATTTGTCGGCACATGTTCGGGCTTCCCTTGTGCTGATGGTCCTGACTATTAATAAATTTTAAAATTGTAACTTTATTTCATTTCAGATCAGTTGTAAGCATGTTAGATAAAAACGGCGACATTTTGAATTCCTACAGATATGATCCTTTTGGAAATATTACGTCAAGTATTGAAGAGCTACAAAATCCATTTACATTTATTGGGCAGTGGGGAGCTATAAACATGAAGCAAATCAAAGAACTGTATCTTATGAGGACACGATGTTATGATTCTGAACATGGACGATTTTTAAGCATGGATCAATTTGCCCTAGACGGAAAACTGAAAAATTTCTATGCTTATGCTTACAATAATCCTGTTCATTTTCTAGATCCGAAAGGAAACTATGCTTTCCTAGTCACCGGAGCAGTAAATTTGGCCTTTTATCTTGGATATAACTATCTGACTAATCAAGAGAGCACACTAGGAGGTAAAATCAGGCTCATGAATGCTTACAACAAATATTCAATTTTTCTACATGTTCATTCAATAATGCAGCATTCAAGTTTATGAAACCAAATTTTCACTAGATCTATATATTTTAAATCCATAAAACCCTTTAACCTATATACTAGACAATAAGTCTATAGAATTTTACTATTAACTGTGTCTGTTCGTTCTTTCTTTCATATAATCGCTCATTGTCCTTATATCCGTAACTTCTAGGTCATGTATCTCGCCAAGTATTCAATAGTTTTACATCCTCCCTTTAAAATGTTTAGTGTTGAGCGTTACTGATAAATATAAATACAGAAAAGATCATCGGTGCCCCTAATTTATATATTACTTTTATTTACTTTCTGGAACTGGGCTAATACTGTTGTCGACTACTAGTACCCAATGGTATCATCAACTCATTGGTCAGTGTTTCGGTACTGACATGATATATAACATACCTGGATAAATGTAGAAGTTAGAAAGAAACTAATTTCCAATTCTTTCAAGCATAGTTGACCTCAGATAGATTGGCTTTTATTTTTAGATACCTTTTGGTCATATAGCTTCTCAAGTCTTTATACATTCTCTGCTTTCTAATTTTTGGATTTGAGCATTCGTGAGGTAAATGCAGAAAGCGCTTTAAACTCAAAATGTATATATTCGTCTTTTTACACTGGATTGAAAGCCCTGCTGGGGGACTACTAGTCACAGAGGTAATCATCAGCTCAGTAGTCGAGTGCATCGATACTAACAAGATTTATAACTTACCTTTCTTAAATTTTCCGCTGATAAATTAAGACGTTATTCAGATACTAAGGTTTCAAATCCCTAAGGGAAAATTGAACTAATATTTATTTAGTTATTCTTTTTTTAAGTCCCGTTGACCATGTAGCTCATCGAATATTCAATCATTTATAACTTTATTTATTCTCGGCTTTCTCAAATTTAAGATTTAGTGTTTCTGATGAACGTGAATCTAGAATAGCGCTTCCGCCACACCAAAATTATATACTGCTATTTTCATTTTCCTAAACCACTGACTAACTTTTTTAAAACTTTTCCTCTTGTTTTTTATTTTGATCTGATTGATATGATTGATGTCTTTTTACAAAATAGGGTCTTCTTAAAACATAATGGTTAAATATGCATTTTATCCGAAGTGCCACCAAAACAACAGAGTATATTTCATCGTAAAGTGCACAGAATTTAGTATATAACGCAATTGAGAACTTCCTCTTTCATTTTATTTCTTATGGGAGCATTACTGCAAACAAGACAAATAGTGATAGGTATTTTACATTAATTTCTCTTAAACCAGTTACTTTATGTTTAGATATATGGATAGAATGGGTTAAATATAAATTTGAGATGTGCTAACACAGATTGCATTGTTTTGAAAGCAGGTACTTTAATTTATTCAAAATATGTACATTTACGTAAACTTTGTTTGATATTGTAGGCGCTGCATTTGCCTTAATGGAAGGGATGATAGGTGGTCCAATTGCTGGTAAAATTGGGGGCAAAATAGCTGGCTATATTGGTAAAAAGTGTGGCAAAGTAGTTGCAGATTTTACGAAAAGAGTTATAGAAACCGTTGCTGCGGAGGTAGAAAAAGTTATAAAAGAGAGCGTTTTTGGAGATAAACCGTTCAGCTGGAAAGGCTTTGGAAAAGATCTTGCTACAGGACTGATATCTAGTTTTTATCCTAGCAAGAAAGATGCCGGAAAATTAAGAAAAGCGGCAGATGTTTTGTTATCCAATATACTTGGGGAAATAATTGATCCAAATAAATCATGGAATGACAAGCTTCAGGCATGTTTATCTAATACGTTGTATTTCTTTTGAGACTGATGTACAATTTTATGCAATTTCGGTAAAGAAATATTTTTTTATATCAATACAAAAACATGAAATCATTATTGGATTGTCTTTGAACAAGAATTAAACTAAACAAAAGTCGATAATATGTTATAATAAATGTTACTGTAACACCATCGAAAACTTCAATACAAGCAAAAACACTTATTTTCGCAGTTGCAGTCCGTCACTGCTGTCAATTTTCTTTCCCGACTTGGTATAGCAATTTACCGCAAGTAATACAATGGATGACACATGCAGAACGGAAAGTAGTTTCGGAGATTCCATCTTAGCTTTATTAATTAAATGACATCTGGAGAACCTTAGTATATGTATGCTATTGGAAGGGAGGCTTAATTCGTGTTACTTTGATGGGCAGTCATATCCCCTTTTCGATTTACAGATTCCCGTAACCTCCACAATTTTCCCCGAGATGCCTTTCCTTATTGGTTAAATATTGGTTGTACAGTTAGGACTTCAAGCAAACAAAACATTCTAATTTTGCAAGTGTGAATGATAACAATATACAAAACGTTGCTATAAATAGATGATGCACGAAAATGTAGTGTCATTGGGATAAAATAATTATCTTGCTGAATAATCGTATGATAGATCACGCACCAGATTCTATAATTATAAGCAGAACAAATTAATGAACATTCAATATAATTCATTGTACTGTCTTAAGTTAACGTTAAAAGGTGTTTTTGTTTACTGTTTTTGTTTTTTTCGTTTTCTTTTTAAACATTTTTAGCATGTTTATAAGTACAATTAAACACGACACAATATATACCTTTACTTTATACCGATACTAATCCTAAACCATTATTTACAGGACGCGAAGAATATTGCATCGAACTTATGGCCAGATGCATTGAATAAATTAATAGATAAAATAATAGAATGGATTAGATCACATGATCCGGTAAGAACTATCTGATATATTTATCTAAATTTCTAATTTGTTTTCATAATGTTGCCCTTGATATGGAATTTCCTACAAGTTTATGATTTATTGAATATTGGTGTGATTGATGATGTTGAGTAGAGAATTATACTATATAATGAAAAAAATATTTTTTCTGTTTTGTAAATTTATGCATTAGGAAAGTGACACATCATTTTTAAATACTTTTTTCGACGCCATATTTGTTGAGTTTAGTGGTTTGACATTTCAACCTCTACTGGTATACTTATTTTTGTACTCGTTCATAGAAAGGGAAAACTATCTTGCAAAATTGTTTAATTTCCTTACAGATACAGTGTTCCAGCTAGGATTTCAAAAGGGCAGGGTGCCAATCCTGAAAAAAGGGCATTTAACGCGTGATATGATAATATGAAAAGGGCATGTTTTAATAAAGATTATAATAAAACATTGTTTGTTCATTGAATCACTGGTTGTATATATACAAAAACAACATCATTAGCCCAGAGAAAAACTATCTTTCTACTTTTTAGGCTGAAAACTTATCAAGCAGCTTGTCACACAAGTTTTAAATCATTGCTTGGCACAGTTAAGCTTTATATGCAGTATTTTTTGAAAAATGTCCTGCTTCATTCTGTTTCTATGGTGTGACACACTTTAAAAGTTTCACCTTTCTACCTTTTCTGTGCTTAATTGCAATACAGCACAAAACAGCTGTAAATGCACAATGTTAGGATATAGTGAACAGTGAAAATTTGGATTGAAAATAAAAAATACCGAAAAAGATGATTAAGGCACCCTACCAACCTTGCTACTAAGACCCTCTTTAACTTTTCCCATGACTCAAAACACCTAAACATATAAATTCTAAAGCCAGAAGTATGAAGACATATTTTATAATATCTTAGTAGGTTACTCAATGCTAGGAAAAAATAAGATTGAGTTATCTTTCTTTATTTGGGTGTGCTCCTTCTTTGGAGGATAATAAACAGTACGTAGAAGATGTAAATACGATCAACAATATGGCGGCCGATTTTGTTATTTTCGTATAAAAAATGAAGGCAGTCAATGAAAAATACGTCTTAATTTGCTATTTATTTCACGGAAAACAATAAGAGCAATGTTTTTAACGAGTTGATTATGGTTTTCGACTTTCTGTCAATTACGTTTTCTCCATGAAACTACGGTAAACATTGCTAATTGTGCCCAAGTTGTATGAACATTTCTTCAAGTTCAAAAACAAACAAATGCCGACTGACCGATTCTATTTGAATGAATTAATGTTGATGATCATTAAATGACCCATCCGATAAACGGATTACCTATAACAACAGATTATGACACCTGTTGTAACCGTTGATTAGCTTGGGGTCGTAAACAAAGTCATATACTTGTCGCCAGGTAAATTTTCGTAATTGGCTGATCATATCAATTCGAACAAAATATATACCAATCGATCTTCAAAAAAGGCAAGGCGCCCTGCAATCTGTAAAAAGGGCACAGGGCGGCACTCGGGAAAGGGCGGGCGCGTACCGCCCTGTGAAAACGACCTAGCTGGAACACTGAGATATATTAAGAATGTCTTGTACCTCAATAAACTCCATTTCAGAGCGTGCTTGCGTCTCAAATATCCCAGTGAACTTGAGAGTAATTACCTCAACTAGAAGGTCTGCTTCATGTGTTGATCTTTTTCTCGATATAAATGAAGATGATCGACTTCAAACTAGACTCTATGACACACGTGCTGATCTTAAATTTTCTAATATCAACTTCCAATTTATTAGCACTAACATGTATTCTGTGCCATCAAATGGCGTTTACATGTCTCAAGTTATGCGTTACACTCGTGAATGTTCACAATATGTGGACTTTATTAACAGGGGTGTGCTTCTTACAGAAAAAATTGCCCCAACAGAGTAATGTGAAAGAAATTGACCCTGCACAAAATTTACGGTCACCATCACGAATTGGTTATTCGTTACGAAATGTCAGTGTCTGCACATACTAACGACATATTTTCGCGGTCTGAGATATTTAGATATAATTTTACCGATTGTGAAATAGCGACTTAGTGTGGATTTACATGGCGGGTTCATATTTATTTGACACGTGTCCTGTCAACGCACCCATCTACGCAACCAGTGTCGCTCACTGCCCGAGTTCAGGCAATTCCCACAAGTTTTGTTTGTCACCTTGATTTGTATCTTCAACATCGTTTTATAGGATTTGAACATTGGTTAACTACCAGTACCTAAATTTACAATTGACTCACATCTATATGATAAATTGGTACAAGGCTAATTACATTTTCATTTATGTTTGTCTAATTGTAAAGACAGAACCTAGTCACGGAAGTAAGGATTAAAATACCATTCATTTAAAACACAAAGGAAGAGGTTTTTGTTACCAAAATTAATAATGGAAAAAAATGCGATAGAAGACAAGCATTGACTACATAGAACGTGACAGAAATATGCTTATTTATTCAACAGAATATAAATATATGAATAAGAAGGTGTGGTATGATTGCCAATGAGACAACTCTCCACAAGATACTTAATGATACAGAAATTAACACCGTACGGCCTTCAATAGTGAGTAAAACCCATACCGCATAGTCAGATCTAAAAGGCTCCGAAATTCAAACGAGAAAACTTACGTCCTGATTTATGTACAAAATTATAAACGAAAAACAAATATTATATACAGCAACAAACGACAAACACTAAATTACAGGTTTCTGACTTGGGACAGGCACATACAGCATGTGGCGGGATAAAACTAGTTTGAAGGCGATATCCCTCTCCTAACCTGGGACAGGGGTGTAACAGTACAAACTATAAAAATCAGTTGAAATGGGCTTAACTCGTGATGGATAAAGCAGAAATACATCTAACAAAAACACAGAGTGGACGTTGCAGGATACTTATACATCCACACAACAAAAAAGACACTAAGTACAGATCTAAGAGTACTTGCAGTAACTGAAGCTAGTTCAAAGCCAATAACAACTAATACACATAATCATGCATCTAAGACTAAAAGGTTATTTTAAAATGTTGATCACAATCTGCTCTTATGCTCTTATATTCGAACAACACTGATGAATCTTAAGTTGACGAAATGCGAGTTTGGCATAAAAAAAAACTTTGATGAGTTTTTATGTTCCAAACAAAATGTTTAATGCGAGATCTTTGTAAATAAATAGAAACAGTAAATTGAAAACGTATACTGAAATTTGGACTAAATAAAATCAGAGAAAATTTTTTACAGATGTCATCTCGTAAATATGTTACCAAGACAAGAGTGTATGATACATATTATATATCGATATAATGCACATTGAAATTATTTTTGGCACAGAATGATATCATTGGACCTTTAGGATATGGTGCTGCTCGTTTCATTCAGAAGGATACTACAATGAGTATAAAAATTCGATTTGAAAATGTCGCTAACGCAACAGCTCCAGCACAGAAAGTTTTCATAGTTTATGAGTTAGATAAATCCATAGATATGAGGACGTTCAAATTGGGAAAATTTGGTTTCGGAAATTTCAATCATGAATTGAAGGAACGAACACATTTTCAGGTAATTATTTAAAAATTAATACCTCATGATTTCAAAATCTAATTCAGTTTCACGTTTTTCATTTAAATTTTATTGGTTTTCTCCAAAAGCAGAAGATAAAGCTAGTTACTTATGGTTGTGCAGTAGACTTTAATTTTTATATTTTGATCATCATCTTTTCTTAAATTCCATATTATACGCTATCTAATTTTAGTACAAAGCTGTAAGGTTTAAGTTTCAATTACCATATCACACAGCTTCACAATACTTGTTTTGAAAATAATATGAATAAACACAAAAGAAGATGAAAATATTCGAGTGTACAAACATAAGATTGAAACCGACATATGATACGTATGGGACTAATTTTTGCAGCCTTATAAGCTTTGTGAAGTATTTTTATATTATTTTTTATGCTTATTGTTGGTAATTTCTTTATCAACATCGGTATCACAGGCTAAATAACTATCAATTTACATCATTTTTCAATTACTTAGGTATCTGTAAATTTGACTGAAATATATGAAGGTTTGTTTGTTCGCGTTCGAGGTGGATTGGACATATTGAAAAAAAGAGTTACTTGGGAGTTTCAAACAGTTGAGGCCAGTACAGGTATTTACACTTAATGCATAAAATGTTATGTTTGCTATAATTATAAAAATGCATAGGGTTGTTATTTTTATTGATGAATACTGCCGTTTTGTTAATTCAATTTTTTAAGGGCTTACGATACAGTTACAGGGGAGGTAATGACGTTGTTATTTTCGCGACGTAAAACTTTGACATATCGGAAAAGATGCATTTTTCGACTGATTTTTATCACTCAAACTGATTTAACTTGAAAACGAGTTCATGGACCCGTCTTTTTTAAAATGCCATTTGGTTTGATTACGTATGAAGATTATTTGTACCAATTACGTATGAAGATTATTTGTACCAATTTTCATGAAAAAGTCAACAATGCAATTTTTTTTAAATTTGATAAATATACAGCAAAAAATGACGTGTTTTTCTAAATTCATGAATATTTGATAAATATGAGTTATTTAAAAAAAAAATGCATAAATTTATAGGATACTTATATAAAACAGAAATTACAAATAATTTAACAAAAAACAGCTTGTGTTTATCTTTTAAAACAAAAAAGTTATGTATTTCTGTTGAAAGGAAAAATACGTCCATAAATCCGAATTTTGAGCAAATATCTGAAATTTCGACCCCATTTTACTCAAAGAGTAGCTCACGAAGGTATATTTTTTTATAACATATTTGATTTAATCAGGTAAAAAATAGCCTATATGCAAATTTTCATCAACATATCAGCATGGGATCAAAACTGTATCGTATGCCCTTAAACCTTTCTAGTGCATCATGGAGCAAGTAATTACTAAGGCATGTTCAAATATATAAAGCCGCTGTCGCTATTTGCTTTTCAAAAAAAGATTAGCAAAATATAAAAAAAAAATATTTTTAAAAATATACCTAATTTTATAGCGTATGATATGATTGTTAAAAAAATCCGATTGAAATAAGGTTCATAAAAATTAACGTTTAGACTGCTAATTTGACAAACTTGTTATATAAGCAAAGTATTTCGGGGAAATATTTTGTCATTTAATATGATATCAACAGATCAGCACTGGTACTACATTTTTTTTTTCATTTGTTCATTCGTTTCCTTTTTCAATTTCTTCCACAACCCTTAGCCATATATGTTTTCTTGTTTGTCATATCAAGCTTAATTGAACACTATATAAAGTGAACCTACAGGAATCATTCTTGTCCCCTGCCATTTGAGAATGTTCAAATATATTTTAATAAGTTTAGATCCCCACTGATAAACCATATAGTTTCCTATTATTTGCCATGTCAATATGAATTAAATGATATATCGGGTAAGTTTCAAAGTAGACATCCGCACCTCATGTTATTTGAGAATTTTAGAAGATTTTCAAAATGTTTGAGATCCTCATCCATTAACCATTATTTTATTGTTTGACAATTCAAGATTATTTGAATGATATATAGGATGATTCCTCGGGAATATATAAATGTTGATTTCTTTTGTGAGATTTCGTAACAGCATTCTGTTGCAGGCATTTCTTTTTATTCTTATGTTTAACATAATAAAATTATAGTCTGAACAAAGGTTCTTCAAGGCAACACTTTTAAACAGTGTTAACAGATATTTATTTAAAACTTAGGTCTTTCTCCGAGCGATCCACGTAAAGGATTTCTCCCACCAAACAATGGGACCGATGGGCAAGGATATGTTACGTTTTCTGTCAAACCAAAGACAGATGTTAAAACCATGACAAGAATTGATTTAAAAGCATCTATTTATTTCGACCAGAACGAACCGGTTGATACACCACTGATTTTCAACACGGTAAGAAATTATTCAGAAATATTCGTTCATCAAATTGCAATTTGTGTTCATAATTTTAATTTTAATAAAAAAATATTTTAAAATCAGTTTTAATCCATAAACAATACGACATCAAGTATTTAAAAGTCTACACAAAAAGTCAATACATTCAATAGAAACAATCCACAAAGAATATTATCATGTTTGCCAACCTCTATTTTTTTAGACTCCTTACATTCTTCTATACAGCATGTTTTCTTTAGTATTACAAATGAGTTTATCAGAAGTGATGTATATCAATATAAATAGTAAAATATACTAATATGAAAAAGTAAAATAACAAAATACCAACTCCCAGGAAAATTCAAAAACGGAAAGTCCCTAATCAAATGGCAAAATCAAAAGCTCAAACACATCAAACGAATGGATAACAACTGTCATATTCCTAACTTGGTGCGGGCATTTTCCTGTTTAGAAAATGGTGGATTAAACCTAGTTTTATAACAAGCTAAACCTCTCACTTGTATGAAAGTCGAGTGAAAGATGTGTGAACAAAACAAAAAAAAAGGGGTACAGCAGTCAACATTGTGTTATAATCTTAATCACTTTAAAAACAAACAAATATGTCAACAAAGAAAAACAAAAAGGCATATAGACAAAGCACATTAGCAAAAACGAAAGACAAGAATACAAAAATTAACCATAGCTCAATAAAACAATGACGGGATGTATAAGTACAGAGCCACGTCAAATGGATATTACCAGAAATAGACTAAACAGTAAAGTATTAAATTACAAAGAAAAATAAAAGAATAATACAACACGTTATTAAGATGATAAACAACGTCAGTACTAACAATATATACTTCAAGACCGTCGTGTATTACTTGTGAAGTTCAAGTTCAACTTCTTCTCGTTTAGCCCATGCTCTAGCGTAGTCTTCAATGGAATCCATAATTATTTTGAAGTTATGGTTCCAATTTATGTGTTGAGCTTCTCTTAACTTAGGACCATGAGATATCACCTTTCGGAGATGTTGAATTATGTTTAGATCCCCAGTAATAACATGGCCAGAGGCGCTGTTAATGTAAGGCGAGTGGGAACAGTCACATGTCAGAGGGTTTTTTAGGTATTGTTCTAAATCAAGGTCTGCAATGCTTGCTGATAGTTAAATACGTTAGTTGAAATGGTTTTGGTGTAATTGTAGAATACAATAGGAACAGACTGATTTTGAAAATAAAGTGGAATTTGAGATATTACCTCCTTGTGATGTAGAACGTTGCTGATGTTGATTACATCAATAAATTATTGGTAACTGAACAAGAAGGAGTTTCCTCTTTTCCTCATGTACAGGTTCCGATCTTACTGGTTTAAAAATACAAATGCAAATGAAATAACTCTCCACTAGAGACCAAATGACGTAGAAGCCAAAACCCATTCCGCATAGTAATAATATGAATGTTTCAGAAAATCGAACTTCCTATTTTTTATGTGAAGTAATACTTTTTAATACAGTTATTGATAGTAATTGAGCTTTCAAGTAACAGTTACATTCCGTTTTAAACAGATAGATGACTCTCCTCCTGACATTAATGGCTCTGTTGTCCAGGAAATGCTGAATTCGGAAATTTTGGCAGTAGCAATTTCCTATCATGATATAGGATCTGGATTTCAATATACAGACGTTCTACTGAAATCTGGTTTGATTATTTATACATAATTGGCAATTGTATTCACAGAGTATAGAAAACTCTGTACCACTAATACGTGTATTTATTTACAAAAATTCAAAGAAATTGCAATGACCATACGATAGTTGTTTAATTACACTGAAGATTAATAGAGATGGTTAATTTAAACATTCGGAAAACATTTATCTTCCCTTCAAGACGTTAGCAAAACAGCTGACTTTAACCAAACTTTTTATAAAAAGTAAAATAAAAAAAAACTCCAAGGAAAATTCAAAACCGAAAATCTGTCATCAAATGGCAAATTCAACAGCTCAAACACATCAAACGAATGGAAAACAACTGTTATCTACCTGACTTGGTACAGGCATTTTTTTCTCGTGTAGAAAATGGTGGATTAAACCTGGTTTTATAGCTTTCTTAACCTCTCACTTGTATGACAGTTGCATAGAATTCTATTATATTGACAAAAATGTGACAACAATGTGTGATCAATTCAAACACACAGAATAGGTAAAAATGTCAAAAATTAGAGTACATTAGTAAACTTTGTGATATCATCTTCATCGCGTTGAAAACAAACAAATATGTCAACAAAAGGGTATAGACACCCCAAGCACATAACAAAATGAAAGACAAGAATACAAAAAGTGACCATGTTAGAACAATACACTGGCGGGATGTATAGATACCAATCCACGCCAAAAAGGATATTACCAAAAATGGACTAAACAGTAAGGGTTAAAAATATACAAAGTCATTTAAAAAAAGAACACTATAACACGTATTTGAGATGATAAACAACGTAAGTACCTAGACTCTATACATCAAGACCATCATGTTTTATTTGTGAAATTGATATGAACTATATATCAACAAGGTCTTGGTATCTTCCGATGAACTTTTTTAAAGAAAAGGACGCTGGTTCATCAAATTTCTACTTGAACACTGATGACGCATACATGATCAAGAGTAACCGTAAAGCGGAAAAAGGCACATATGTTTTGGGAATTACTTTGGGTAAAAAAGACATATCATTGTGCAGATACCCTGGCAATAGAAAACTATAAAGACTGTTCTTTTTATAGAATAAAAACCATATATACACCAACTATCAACCAATCAAAATCCCGGATATTTGAAAAAAGTGCGATCAAACTTACACTGCTGTATAGTTTTTGATACATAAAACTACCTTGGGGAAAAAAGTTCTTACAATTGTCCAAATAGTGAAGATTTGTCATCAGGTCACTGTTGTAAATATAAATATAGGCAATAATAGTTTACCGATATTCAAATCTCACAAATCAATTGAGATGAAACAAATGAAGGAGACAAATAAAAACTAAGAGAATACTTTTATAAATTTTGACTTGGATGGAGAGTTGTCTCATTGGCACTCATACCACATCTTCTTATATCTATGAAAGAAAATTTAACTTTTTTTGTAGAATATGGCTATGAGACATTACTTACTGGAATAACCAAAAATGTTATACAAATACCATTACCTCCCGGTGAGGAGTATCAACTTTTATTTAGTCCTGTGGATTTTACTGACAACCGACCTGGTCTCGAAAGTATCAAAGAAAAGAATTCTATTCATGTACACTTTCCAAGAGTACCAGGTATTATTCTTTTACTGTTTATCATAGGTAAATAAATTACAAAAATATATCATTTCCACGAAATGTAGCCTTCTAGATTTCTTGTGAAACGGTAGCATCTGAGTGTCCTCCTGAGCACTGATTGTTGTAAATCGACAAAGAAGAAGGTATGATCTGGCGACTTTAAAATAAAAAAAAATATCACAAATCTACCAAATAATTTCCCTCAGATGTAAAATAGACATTAGCCTGTCATTTATGAGCGTTCATATTATTTATGTATGTCTAACATATTTGCACTAAAGTTATTAACTCCTTGTTTTTACAGCAAAATTGTCCAAACTCGTTTTCCCTCAAACAATTAGTCGACAAATAGTTTTAAGAAAAAGTTTTTTTGCTTTTTCTCGAAGGAAAGTGCCGTAACACATGATTTTTAAGTATCTAATATAAAATGCACTGTACATGTCGAGTCATTTAGGAAAGCTGACAGTAGTCGAATCGAATAAATCTGCTCAAATAAGACCGGCAAAATTAATATATTTAGGCATGAAAGACGGATATTCGTTCACGTTTTGATATTAACGAAAACTCCTGTGGTGTAATTAAGAGATAACTGTTTTGTATTTGAAGCTTGGCCTACGTAAAACATTCTGGTACCTGTATACCTGTATTTTGCCAGCACGTTTCTGCAGCAGAAAAGAGAGTCGTTGCTGAACCAATCCGTTGCACCAACATACTATTTTACGTCTCTATAATGGCGTCAATATCTCTCTAAAATACGGCCTTATGGGTTTTAAAGTCGGTTGCGAATTTTTTGTGATGTGCTTCTTCGCGATCTAGGTCTTCAGGCTACAGTGGTTGATGCGATAACGGCTCGATGATGTAGATGAAAGACACAGATATAGCGATCTTGTCCAGGAGTCGTTATGGGAGGTCTTCTACTCATCCGGCAGTTATTAGTTGAACCAGTCTGTTGGAATATGTTCCACAGCCGAGAAATTGTGCTCTGGTTAACTTGACGTTTAGAGTTTGTGAACATCGTTTTACGTCTTTCCGGCTTGGAGATGACCGATAACGATATTTCGAGTGATGGGGTTCAACCTAGGTGTGGCAGCATTTCAACCTTATGATACAAGTCAGGCTTCGAACTTTGTCTTTTCATTTCCTTTTTGTGTCAGAGAGCTAAATCTAATGAACATTAAATTGAGAATGGAAATGGGGAATATGTCAATGAGACAACAACCCGACCAAAGAGCAGATAACACCCGAAGGACACCAATGGGTCTTCAACGCAGCGAGAAAATCCCTGACCCAGAGGCGGGCCTCAGCTGGCCTCTAAATAAAAATTTGTACTAGTGCAGTGAAAATTGACGTCATACAGGCATTTTAAAAGTTAGCACTTACCTTTAAAAGGTTAGTTTGTTTAAATTGTCATTTAAATTTACGAACTTAATTGCAGAATTTGCTTTTCGAAAGATGAAAAGGGGCTATGCTTTATTCTAACTTACAGCATATTTTTCGTCAGTTTTGTTACCCTTTATATATCTATTTCGACATGCCGCTGGTAGTTTATAAAAATTAAAATAACAAAAATACCGAACTCCAAGGAAAATTCAAAACGGAAAGTCCTTTATCCAACGGCAAAATCAAAAGCTCAAACATATCATACGAATGGAAAGTAACTGTCATATTCCCGACTTGGTACATGCATTTCCTAATGTAAAAATGGTGGATTAAACCTGGTTTTATAGCCTCTTAACCTCTCACATGCAGACAGTCGAATATTAATTCCATTATATTGACAACAATGTGTGAGCAATACAAACAGACATAATAGGTAAGAATGTCAAAAATTGGAGTACAGCAGTCAACAGTGTGTTATTATCTTAATCACTATTAAAACAAATAATTAACAATTTTAACAAAGAAAAACAAAATGGCATTTAGACACTCTAAAGACAAAGTACATAAGCAAATGAAAGTCGTTGCAAACTTTCACTATAATATCAACCATCGTATCGAACAAAGCGCGAAGTGCTCTAATGCTGAAACAATGGATCGATGCCACTGCTGGTGGAGTTTTTATTCCCCGAGGGTATCACCAACCCAGTAGTCAGCACTTCTGTGTTGACATGAATTATCATTGATATGGTCATAATTATAAATTAACTGTTTACAAAACTTTGAATTTTTGAAATACTAATGCTTTTCTACCTCAGGAATAGAATACGTTAGCTGTATTTGGCAAAACTTTTAGGAAATTTTGGTCCTCATTGCTCTTCAACTTCGTACTTTATTTGGTCTTTTTAATTTTTTTTTATTCGAGCGTCACTGATGAGTCTTTTGTAGACGAAACGCGCGTTTGGCGCAAGTACAAAATTTCAATCCTGATATCTATGATGTGCTTATTCATAAAATGACATTGTCAAAATGTTTGGACACTAATATTTCTATATCAAAAGTGTTTGTGGACTACCGTTTAAAAATAATAAGAACGGGTCTTGTATCTATTTATAACACATTTTAAATAAACACGTTTACGTCTGTGTACATGTTTTTTTTGTAACTCAGCTTTTCCCAAAAAAGTTATAAGACACTACTTAATTGGAAATAATAAGCTGCTGGAGCATTTATTTTGTCTTATACCTAGTTTAAAACGTAATTCATTTTAAAGACGAAAGAAAATTGTTTTTAAGAAGCGAGAAATATTCCCATCGCCAAATAAAAATTTGTTACATGATAATAAAAAAAGAAACAACACATGTACGCGCATTGTTGATCATTGTGTAAATAACTAACAACAGCAAAATTGTTTCTTATCAGAAGACATAATATAGTTTTTCTTTATCTTTTCAATTTTCAAGATTCCATATTTTTTACTGAAGGTTTTTTGTTAATTTTAGGCATTTGTAATGACAAGAACAATTGTTCTGGAAATGGAAATTGTACAAACAACAATAATTGTGTCTGTGACTTTGGATTCTATGGTTCCGATTGCAGCGGAGGTAGCTATTTATAAAAAAAAATAAAAAAAATATTTTCTTCGAATTTTTGTTATATACTGTTGATTCATCCATATATTGATATTGTTTATATGATGATCTAGTAGTTTTATTCATTTTTAAGTATTACTGTGCGTAATCTTTTTTATGCTCGCCTCCGTCTGTCTGTCTGTATGTCTGTCCGAAACAAATTGTTTCCATACTGTATTCCTTTGTCTGATTTGAATGAGACTTTACCGGACAGTAGATATAAGGAAGGGGTAGATGCCTATTGAATTTGAGATTTAAAAAATGTAAGTTCATTGTTTCTCAAAATAGGAATGTTTGGAAAACATAGTTCCCAGATGTTAACTTGATTTTCCCTTTTTTGATTGTAATACAATTGATACAGATTGAAAATATATTGAATGTAAAGACATCTATTTATCTAAGTCAACATGTCAATTGATCTTTAAAAAAGAAAATACTGGTTTCTTTGAAATATAACTGATATTTTAATGTTTATCAGTGTGATTTGGCATGTGCCCAGCTCCTAGTGCATAGCCAGGGTCAGTGGGCCTGTACAAGTCGCTAAAAGTGGATACTAAAAAATGTTTTTTTGTGATCATTGTGGCTCTGGAGAAAGTATTGGTATCAATCAATTTTGGTTTCTCGATACCTTACCTATGTGCATTTCGGAGAGCATCTGTAAGAAGTGCTTTCCACATGTTGTTCTTTATATACCTCTCACTTTGGAAACTGGTGGTATATGGTGATGGGGTGCTTGTCCGTCTATTCTTCTTTCCGTCCTCCTTTTGCATTTATCATTCGAAAGAATGTTGGTGTTTAATGTGGCATGACATGGACTTTGTCATTCCCGCAGACTATAGTGCACATCTGTATCCGATTCTCCTTCTTACACCTGAATAGAATAGTTTGTGATTTATCCAAATTAATGTGGTGTTTTCAAATAGCAAATCGAGGATTTTATAAAAGTGGTTGGTATCATTTTGAGAGCTTTGGTAGCAGTAATTTTAGTTTCCAATATTTTTTTATGCACACACTAAAAAATAAGCTATCAATAATGTTTGTTTCTTAATTAATTACCAGATTTATAAACGGGATATATATAGATATGTGTTTAATGTTAAATCCAATTATTATTATGATGTAGTTTCTCATTTAACAATGATACTTTCATGCTGACAAAATAGGAATACAATTTTATTCATGACGAAGGATAGTAATTTCATTGCTCTACTTTCAAACATCTTTGTTGAGGACTACAATGCGACAAATCAATCGTATATGTGAAACTTGATTCGTGTCTAATTATGTGATTATTACCGTTAAAAATTCTAATGCTTCACTTTTCTTTTTCATTTCCACATTTGCAGATACACCACCAGTTGAACCACCAATAGTAGATGCTCGAGATGCCGAGGGGTTTGAAGATTCAGAAATTGCAATATATATGTCGGCAAAAGCTACAAATGGAACACCATACGACAGTTTCAAGATATACATTATAAATTTTCCTGAAAATTCTACATTTTCATTTGGACATTTGGTTGATTATCGTTGGGAATTGAATTTTAGTGATTTCGGAAATATTAGTTTTATGCCACCAAGGGATTTATCTGGAAATTTTACATTTCATGTTCTTGCTGAGTTGGTACAAGGTTCACGAAACTCAACGAGAAATAGTTTCATTTCTGTTCTTATCAAACCTATTGTTGATGGTGTTGACATGCGAGTTAGAGTCGATTGCTTTAGCATGAAGAAACATTATGCCAATTTACAAATAAATGCACCTTTGAAAGACATAGATAGTTCAGAGACGCTTGAAATAAGCGTAACGGTTCCAGAAAACTTTAATTTGAGTTTAGGGCAAGAAATTATTACGGGAACATTTGTACTGTCGTCTATGGATGTATTAAATACAATTGAAGTATTTGGGACAAATATGTCGGAGGTTGATCACTTCAATATTACAATAGTTGCAAAAGTTGTGGAGAATGGAACATCGCTGCAAGAGTCTTACAGTGATACTGTTATTGTCGAGAAATGTACAGGTAGGATTGTTATCAACGATAGTATTCTTTCATTTGAATCCTAGTATTTAATCATTGGGGTCTTGCTTATGAATAAACGTAAATGTGTGGTATACACCAAAAGGACAATCACCAAAACATGATAAAACAAAAATCAATTTACAAGTCGACATCTACTTGGCACTTTCTTTCTCTATTTATGCAAATCAAGGTATTATTGAAAGGCGTAGAGAAGGAACAACCAGATAAAAAAACCTAATAAACTCGGTAGCATCAGATGTTTAGACGACAAACACATGTACAGGTAAAACAATACTGAACATATCAATTCAAAGAATACTCTCAGATACGTAATGCAAGCTCAAAATACTAAAATACTTGATATAGCTATACAAATAAAGAAACCATGAATTCTTGCATTCTGCTATAGACCGATTTATTATAATTTGAGAAAAATACGATCTAGTAATGTGGGTATCTTCGGGTTGTGTGATGTTTTTCATCTTATCAAGTTCTGGTTAAATTGTGATGTTGCCTGACACTTTAATTCCTCGGATGATAACTTTCCCTAGGTGTTATGAAAAAAAAATTTAAAACAAATTAGAGGTTATTCTTTCTTTTTACATATTTGGTGAAGAAGTGTCGTGCTTTTGAAAGCATCAAAAAGAGGTTTGAAAATTGAAATCAACATCTGTGTAAGAGCTGTGATTAAATAGTTCCAATTAAGAGAGATTAAAAGACACACAATATGAATATGGAATACAATGAACTAAACAAATTCAGATCTTTATGATAAACAATTTAGATTCAGAATGTTGAATATTAAAGAATGTTTACTAATAGCCTAAACATTTTTACAGTCAAATACATACAGAATTTGAGGAAACCTGATGTACTTATAAAAAGTATTTGAAACATTTAAGTGGTATTTGAAGTTCAAAACGGAATCGATTATGTTCCAAAAAATTCTAAACCGCAATGCTATAAACAAATGTACTTTTAATCTTAAGCAACTAATTTATTGCAAAAAAAGAAAAACTTGAAGGAAATTTACTTCCTTGTTTGCTCGTTTTATTTAAATATGTTCATAAACCGCTCATAAAAGGCTGGATGTGAATTATCAACTTATTTATTTACAGTAGGTGGACAAATTTCATATTTTTATGAAAAATATGTGGTATAAATATAAGAAATTGTAGAAAATATTCATCAAGTATTTTTACAGCGGATGACCTTGAGGGCATTCCGGTGTTATGTTGCCGCAGACATTTTTACCCACGTGACTTGCGTTTTTGACTGATAACCGAACATATTTCTTATAAATACGCGGATATTATCGAGTGCAAAATAAATTCCTTATCGCTTGTTATAATAAAATTGAGAATGGAAATGGGGAATATGTCAAAGAGACAACAACCCGGCCAAAGAGCAGATACCAGCCGAAGGCCACCAATGGGTCTTCAACGCAGCGAGAAAATCCCTCACCCGGAGGTGGTCCTCAGCTGGCCCCTAAATAAAAATGTGTACTAATTCAGTGAAAATTAACGTCATACTAAACTCCAAAACATATAAATGAACTTAAATTAAAAAAAACATACAAGACTAACAAAGGCCAGAGGCCCCCCTCCACATACCTCTAGCCAATGAAAATACACACAGCGATTCATTTTTTCAATGAATACTCATGAAAATATTTTTTAAGAACATAGATAAATAATATGAAAATGTTTTGTCGTGAGAAATATATATATACAAGTAAAAAAATCATTAATATCTATTAACACGTACCGACAAATTGTGTTTGCGGATGAATATCTCTTATCGCTTGATATATATTAATTTCATCAATTTCATCAATATATATTCTTTAGCGGGAGAAATATGAATGCCTACTAAACAGGTCAGGAATAACCATTAATTGGTGGATAATAGCTCAATTCAGGTATAATCCACCTTTTGCCATATAGTGAGATAGACCAAATGAGGTATATTGCAGTTTTTATCACAGAATTTTTTAAAAAACATATTCGAGCATTTTATTTTGCATATACCATATTAAGCTTTGATGAGTTCTCACTGGTGACATGTAACTGCTTCTGAATTCCTGTGCTGTGTTTTATAAAAAATGTGGATTATACCTCGGTTGAGGTATAATCCACTAATTGATGGACATTGACGACTGGTTTCCCTAAGCATGTTAAGTCTACATCAGTTCCAACTTTAAGATTTGTTAGCCGAAATGGACAGGAAGAGACTGCAGAACAAAAATAAGATTTAGTAGATGAAAACTAAGAATTTATAAGTAGGAAAAGGAGGGTCATATTTATTCAGGGTTTCCCATACAAAATGCAGCATGAAGTGTCAGAATCAATTACATGTCATCACTAAGTGTTCATCAAAGCTTGTTATGGTAAATGCAAACATATGCTTTTATATCTCTTAAATTTTTTTGGGGATAAAAACTGCATTATACCTCAATTGGTTTATCTTATTATATATCAAATGGTGGATTATACCTGAATTGAGGCATAATCCACCAAATAATGGTTATTCCTGACCTTCTAAAATCAAACCTATTAGAAAAACGAATTATTACAGAAGAGTGTCCACCATGCACTTGCACTGCACTATCATTAGAATAGTAGAATAGAATGATGGTATAAATGGATGAAAATTTGCCGGTAGAGTTATTAAGACGATCTGCTATATATATAACTGTTGTCCAAATATTGATATAATATATAACAACAAACCAGATTATACTGATAACAAATGATTGTCCCATGATTATATCACTACAATATAATAATTATCACTGAATTACGGTGAGGTTGAATTCTCTGTCATCTATTCATCATCCACACGGGAACTTGTCTCAGAAAAAAAATCTATGTACCTTAACCTAACTTTCAGGTATAGAGATTTTTTTTTTAGACAAGTGCCTGTGACTATCCACCAGAACTTGCGGTCATCCGATATTCAGTACTTCAGTACTTTGATTTTGATTTATCACATTGAGGAGCAAATTCGAGAGAATCCAGTTTCCCGGTCAAAATAGTAGTTACTAAATAACTGTATATAATGTACTACATCTCCAAACAAACAACAGTATATATTGACTGCATTAAACGGACCATTTTCATATTTCCGATTTTTGACTCCGTTTCTATAATTTTTCGACAGGTTACCTACTCTCTGGTAGGACGTCCTGGTACTCGATCAATTACGAGCTGTTTAAAGAAGTATAAAATCAAATATATAATTGGTGCAATTTGGAGGAAAGTTTACTGTTTTCTGATGATTCAGTCATGTATAGAAAGCATTAAACAGTTAACTTTCCCTCAAAATTGTACCGATTAAAAGCTTGAATTTACTTATTTGCGTTGCTCTTGCCTGACCGAATACCAGGATGTCCTACCACAGAGAAAGTAACCTGTCGAAAAAATATAATTCCGGAGTCAAAAGTTGGTAATATGAAAATGGTCTACTTTATTCATAAGTAAATACGGCGGGTGGTGGTCGGGTGAGCGGCTTCCAACAGTTTCCGTGCAATAACTTGTGAACCCTTCGACCAAAGGTTTTCAAATTAAAATATATTGTTATATTTTAATACAAAATGGAGGTCAAGTTCAATATTGCGGATTTTTACCTTTACCGTTTAGTAGTTATTTCCTTGATCTATTGGAAAACAGCACTTTATGTTTTTTTCCGTGCAGATTACTTATAAATTACTTGACCAATACGTTTGAAATTTTAAAATGTTTGTTACAGATAAACACAAGAGGCTCTAAAGAGTCTGTGTCGCTCACCTAGGTTTATGTGCATAATCAACAATGGACTAGCTCCAACATTGTAGACAAGAATTCATGACAAAAATTTCTTTTTTGTTGATTTTGTATTGCTGATCATTTTTTCTGTTTAGCTTCTCTCTATCTTCTTTAGTTTTTGCTCAAAACACAAAGTATCATTCATATAAACAAAAACTTCTGGAGACCCTAAGATCTATAAAGGCAGGATTTAATTTAGAAATTAAAGATCATATTTCAATGAATACCAAAAACTTCCTTCGGTATCAAGTCTTAGATGTATGATTTTATGATGAGTTGCTGTCGCCTTTGAACTAGCCGGCAGTAACTGCGATTACTCTCAGATCTTGCCTTTTTTGTTGAGGTAATGTATGAATACCCTGCCACGCCCGTCTGTGTTTTTGCTAGATGTTTTTTCTGTATTATATCGATCTGATGAATAATGCTCTTTTCAACTGATTTTTATTGATAGTTCTTATGTTGTACAGTTACACCAATATCCCATGTAAGGGAAAGGCGATGGCGCCAGCAAACTGTTTAAACCCCGCCACATTCCGTATGTGACTGTCCTAAGTCAGGAGACTGTAATTCAGTGGTTGTCGTTTGTTTCTGTATATCATATTTGGTTTTTTTCATTGTTTTGGACGTAAACCAGGCCGTTATTTTTCTCTTTTTGAATTGTTTTACATTTGTCATTTCGGAGCCTTTTATATCTGACTATGCGGTATAGGTCTTGCTCTTTGTTGAAGGCCTTTCGGTCACCTATAATTGTGAACTTCTATGTCATTTGGTCTCTGGTGGAGAGTTTTCTTATAGACAATCATACCTCATCTTCTTATTTTTATAATTACATGTTATTATATTTGAAACTGACCATTCTAATTTAGATCTATCAATCTATCTATTTTAGATTTAATGACATCAACTATGAGTGTCAGCCCCGGACAAAGTATTGTTTCATCAACAACTAACAGTGCAGCTTTCTTTACGACACAAAAAGCTACAAGTGTTGCTTCTACAGAAGGTATAAATAAGTTTCAATATAAGATATTCCAATAATAAAATTCTACTTCTATTATTTTGCTGATGAAAAATACAATTTCGAAGTGTGAGATGCATTTGAGCCTGTGTTTTTATTGTTTTTTATCACATAGCTATATATGGTCCATAAATTTGTCATATTTTGATGCAGATTAATATACTTGTATATATATATATAGATTCTACCACTGCATCGAGTGTGATACGATATTTATCAACTCGGAGACAGTTAAATTTTCAAATTTAAAACGCGAGGCTCGCCGAGCGTTTTAAATATTTAAGATTTAACTGTCGAGAGTGGATAAATACCGTATTACACGAGATTTGGTGGTGGAATCTGTTTCTCTAATGATTTTTAAACAATACGCAGGCAAATTTATTCCTTCTTTTCGACTGATCTGCAAAAAGATGTGTTCTTTCTATGTGACGTCATCAGGCATGGTCGCCTTTTTTCATGCCGTCACAATAGGAAATTCAGAGGAAAGCAAGAAAATTCGACGTCATAATAGGATTTTAACCAATGAAGAACTGAGATCAAACGAACCACACATTGATTAAATTTTTTTTATACAATGGGTGCAGAACCCTAGGGATAAATTGACGAAGAATTAGAGAAAACGTTTTATTGTATCACTTATATGTATTTGACCTTGACCATAAACTTGAAAATGCAGTCATTGATATTTTTTACGAGTAAGCTTGTCTGTGCCAGATATAGTTATCCATCAGACTTGATGTATTATATTTGGCATGTTTGTCAATATCCAAGCCAGCGTATCGTGTACAGTTATAACACACATGTAATCTTGACCTTTCACTTCAATGTACCTTATTTTTTTGGAACTCATGTCTTCTGAGGTGTATTTCCTCTTTTCAAATTATGAGCGCATCTGAGTCACATATTTAAAATGCGCCTTCTTTTTGTTGTTTGATTATTTGATTAATTATGCTGCTAAGGGTCATTAAATATTTTGAATTTCTCCTTTTTTCCCCCTAGAAATTATTGGTTTTTATTTTCATTTAATAGGAGTGGAAAAGACGTATATAGAGAGAATAGATTTGCGCCTTGATTTCGAAGTCACAGTGGATTTGACAGATACAACAACTGCAACATACAAAAAACTGTTCCAAGATACCTTCACAGGGGTATATTTATTTATGATGTATACCTTTATTTAGAGCACATGACCGAAGGAATGATATTACATAGTGTGTCCTCTGTTGTCGTTCATCAGTAAACCGTTTAACAAAAATCGTCTCTGAAGGCAAATTGACAACAAACTTGTTTTTAGGTGCTTTCTTTCAAATTTGTTTCTAGTGTGTCCCTCGAATTTACCAACATGGCTACTGTTACTATCAAAACGTTCGGGTTCGTACTAGGAATAAAATATTTCAAAGAATATATGAATAAGAAAAGTCATGAGGTATCTTTTTAAAACCTGGTTTAACCAACAAGTGTCTTGTACTTCCCCTTTTTAAATTTACCTTGGAGTTCGGCATTTTTGTTATACTTTTTAAAACTGACTTTTATTAGTGACGGACAATAGCACATAGTCATAAATTTCTTAAAACATGTGAAAACCTATACAAAACGACACTTTTCTTACAAAATTGTCAAAACCGTTTAAAACAATTGTGTTTTGAAAAGTACGTTCGAATTCTATGCGATTGTCATACAAATGAGAGGTTTAACAGGTTTAGTCAACCATTTTCTACATAAGGAAATGCCTGTACGAAATCAGGAATATGACAGTTGTTTTCAATTGGTTTTTATGTTTTTGAGTTTTTGAATTTGCCAATTTATAAAGGACTTTCCGCTGGAGTTCGGTATTTTTGCTATTTTACAATGTATTCGAATCCTTAAAAAATCAAACGTAAATGCAATTATAGATCGCATTTGAACCAATATGAACATTTTTGTTTACTCAATTAAACCTAGACGGTAATCGAAAAAGCCCCGACTGTTCTTGAAAAACCCAGACATATAAATTAATGCATTCTAAAATTGCACAATTACAAGTTTTTTTGTAAGTGTCTGTAAATGTAAGCAATTACAGATTACATGAAGGCATTTCCTTTGATTTTTACATTCTTAGGTGCATTAATAGGGGTTTATTCTATATTATTGATTAAAAGCATTTTAACGGTAGATCTAACTTTCATTAAAACTGAAAATAATGGAAAGTTAGTTATAACTTCCTATCACAAATGCTAACCATCAATATTTTTTTCAAGCTCTGGTTTCATATCTTACTAAAAGACAAATCTGTTGGTCTACAATTCAATTAAAATGTATTTGCTGACCGATGTGTTATAAAAGATATATAAAAAAAATTATATATCTGTCATTTAATTTCCGCTGTGACCCAAACTTTTGTTATCAAAATCAGAAGGGGGTAACTCAACCCATGTCACATTTTCAACCTTATGTAAAAATCTTAACAATAACTCAATATGTTTGTTCGGAAACGAAAGTTATTCCGAAATTTTAGTCTTTTCATACCTTCTTTTGACCTTTTGACCAAAATCCTATTCTTAGAAAGTGGCATTTCCATGCTTAGTTTGGTGTAGACTGTTTGTATAGTTTAATGGGTACCTAAATAACTCGAGATCGAGAGAGAGAGAGAGAGAGAGAGAGAGAGAGAGAGCATTTACCTCATCTTTAGCATTATGTTTACATATTTCTTAGAAAAAAATGTTCATTTAATTTGTAGATAAATACTCAATGCAAATACATTTTTCTTTTTCAGTTGTTTGAGTATTATTCTCACTCATCTATCAAGGACGCTTTTATAAATATCACGTTGTTCTCAATTGCGTAAGTATCTTAGTCCAAATTTGTCAATCAAGTTGTAACAATTGGGGATACCAATGTTATCTTGGCAAAGCAGAGCTATCAGTATTATCTCGCACTCACATTTTTGCATGAGTTTGTAATACTTTTGGTAATAGTGCCAGGGGGAAGCATATGTAAACATGTTGTGTAATCCTGTGGACAGATCATCCAATGCCAATGCTTGTGGGTGATTTATCCATCAGCAAAATACAACTGCTTTCCTGTTCTCGTTTGTTGAAAAGAGAACTATGGTTGGATGCCCCCAAATTTGAAAAAAAATGTTGCATAACTGAATTGTCCAATGTCTACTTTGTCGCATGGATTTTTATCCGACTCAATTGATCTGCTGACACATTGTGTACTCCGGCAATATGTGCTGCTGTCAGATAAATATTGTTTTATAAAGCAAACATCCATAGATCCCAAGTCCTTTGACAAAGCTGAGGAGAGCGACCCCCTTGCTTGTTTATGTATTGAACTACTATAACATTGTCTGACCGAATCAAATAGAATGGAGAATGGAAACGGTAAATATGTCAAAGAGACAACAACCCAGCCGAAGAACAAAAACAGCCCAGTTTGACGAACCAAAACTTGTTCGTTTTTCAAAAATGTCTGTAATTTCTGTTTTTTTCAGAAAACTGCTCCCTATTCTCGATTGTTTATATATAAAAGATTTTGTTCCTCTGTCCCTGAACTGTTCGATTGTTAATGTAACAACCTGAGACGGTAACACCAAACCTTGATCTAATTTGAACACTGCTCCCAAATAAGAAATTGTCTGATTTTGTTCTAAACTCGATATTTCTTTCTTTTTTTTATTTATTAAAAATCCTAGTCGAACACGGAGATTCAGTATTATTTCTTAGAGAAACTTATGTGTGTTAAATACCTGTGATATGAACGTTTAACCTGTGTAATACACACATGTAGTCCTCAAGGAAGAGCACAAAGATTAAACACACGTCGTAGAAAATTGACTGTGTATTATAAAAAGATACCCGACTATTTTTCAGTAAGAAGACCATATTGAGTGCAAATAATAATATCTAGGGGATTGTATCATGTTACTCATTATATTTCACTTACTGTGATACATGTTATTGACAAATAAAGAAAAATAAAGATTGGATTGGTACAACTAGCAGGTACCTTTTACAAAAACGATATATCCATGATAAAGACATGTCTTATTTGGTATTATTTCAGAGACGTCATGTGTTTGTGACAAATAATTAATTTTTTAAATAAAATTTAACAGGAAAGGCAGTCTTATTGCTAATCATGACGTTATTACTAGCACAGAATCGAAAGAAGACATCACGATGATATTGGATGCGATGAAACAGAAGCATCTTTTAAAGATCGGAAATCAAACTGTTAAAGCTTTGTCTTTCAATGTGATTGACGGTAAGACTTCTCAATGTTCATTGAGTGGAAAGGTTTATTTTAATGTCGTATTTTGTTAAAGTAAACTTTGTATTTATATGTTAAATATACGGTTATTAACAGTGCATTATATTATATGAAAATTACCCTAAGAGCTCTAAAAGTTACTATTATTTCACAGATACGAGTATTTACATTAAAACATGAATGCCGAGGATAAATCTAACATATAAGAAGTAATCACTAAAAAAGATAAAAAAAGGAAATATTTACATTTATCAATTTAAAAAAAATCTGATTCTAAAAGAGAGGCGAAAGATACCAAAGGTATATTCAAACTCATAAGTTGGAAATAAACTGACAACGCCATGACAAAAAAAGAAAAAGACCAAAAGACACACAACAGCATACAAAACACATAGAAAACTAAAGACTGAGCAACATGAACCCCATCAAATCCCGGGGGTGATCTCAGGTGCTCCGGAAGGGTAAGCAGATCCTGCTCCACATGTGGCACCCGTCGTGTTGCTCATGTAAGTACAAACATGTAACCGATTTAAGTTAACATCAAACTAAGCAATGCCCAATAAAAGTAGTTCTGCTTATTGTGATGAAATGAAGTTAAGATGAGTTTTTGTATACCAATTCATCATAGATATACCAGGATTAAAATTGTGTACGCCAGACGCGCGTTTCGTCTACAAAAGACTCATCAGTGACGCTCGAATAAAAGAAGTTAAAAGGGCCAAATAAAGTACGAAGAGTTTTGAGGACCCGAAATTCCGAAAGGTTTTCTCAAATACAGCTAAGGTAATCTATTCCTGGGATAGAAAATTCTTAGCATATACAGGCTATTAAGCCGCAATTTTTTTTATTCATATAGAAGGGATTGATCCATTGTGCTTCATGAATTTTACTCTGACCAAGTTAAGGACAAACTATTGAAAAAAAAACACACTTGTATGTATTCAGCAAACTAGGTGCTTGGGCTGCATGATAAAATTTAGGAATTTGAACAAAAATGTAAAAATAGTTTTCTAAACCGTCTAAGGTCGTCGAACTTCAATTCCTTTAACGAAATATATGTAAAAATAAGGAGATGTGGTATGATTGCCAATGAGACAACTATCCATCAAATTTGAAATGAAGCGGATGTGAGCAATTATAGGCAAACGTACGGCCTGCAACATATAGTCGACTATAAAAGGCTCCGACATGAAAAATATGAAACAATTCAATTGAGAAAACTAACGGCCTAGTTTATAACAAAACAATTTACGAAAAATAAATGTGAAAGAATGAACAAACGACAACCACTGAACTACAGGCTCCTGACATGGGACAGGCACATAAATAATGTGGCGGAGTTAAACATGTTTGTGAGGGCTCAACCCTTCCCCTAACCTGGGACAGTGGTGTTACAGTACAACATAGGAACAAACTATAAAAATCAGTTGAAAAGGGCTTAATTAATAAGATCGATACAAAGCCGAAAAAACATCCAACACAGACCGGACGTGGCAGGGTATTTATACACTCCTGACAACAAAAAAGACACAAAGTACTGATCTAAGAGTAGATCTTATATATAGTACTCGCAATTACTGACAGCTAGTTCAAAGCCAATAACAACTAATAAAAAAATCATGTATCTTAGACTCAAATATCAATCAGTACACATCCAATATCCAATGAATTAAGTGTAAAGACGTCATTAACAGTGAAAGAAAAACCTAACCTTGTGCAATGCCAAAATAAAGGTATCGACAGATCGTAGTACCGTAAAAGCGCATATGTGTATAACAATACTATTTAGTATTGTTTTAATTTACTGATATCAAAGTCAATATTTATACCAATGAAAACAATATTCAAAGACCTCGTTACAGTGTTGAATAGGTAACTTTTTAGAATAAGTTTATTTAAAGGATTGATAAGTTTACCCGGATCGTATCTAAATTTCTGTGCTCGGTAAACAACATCATCATAAAAATTAAGACGTGCTATTCCGTTTGATATAAGTTTTCTACAGGTACAGAAAAACTTGCAAAACAAATTTTTGTATCTATGGAAGAATTAGATAAAGATTTTAAGTAATTTATGTTAATATTTTTATTTTTCATTTAGATTCAACAGAAAGCGGTACATCAAAATTGTCAAAACTTTGGATAGCTGTTATAAGTGCATGTTCAGCGGTGTTTGGATTTATAGTTATAGTAACCACTGTACACCTAATACGGAAACAAATGATCAAACATAAACCTGAGCAAAACCTTGGTAAGTGTAAAACAAATGTTTGCTATGGTAATTTATATGTTTAGCATATGTCGGATTTTTTTAAAGATCCATAATCGACTCCGGAATTTAAACATTAAAGAAAGTCTTGAAGTTAAACAATGCACGATGTTAGATCAATTTCACTATTTCAAGTCTGTTGAAACTTTCCTTAAATTCCAAAAGTGCATACCTCTTTTGTTATAAACAATGTATTTTATTTATAAATAAATTAATTATAAAAGCATGTTTTCTGCCCTTTTGTCCATCTTCATACTTTATGGTTTCGTAGAGATTGATGGGTTGGCAGATTGGTGTTCAGCGTCAAACAAATGTTACATTAATATTGCATTTAAGGGCGAGAACATGCGGGTGTGATATAATTAAAAGCACTGCTGATTGCTAGACCGATACGCTGAGCAGGATTTTTCAACATACAAGTTCACTATGATGAGTTCGCAAGAGGACATATCACCCTTCATGCACATATGTTTCTGACTCCAGCAGAACTATTCTTTGCTCCTATTTCTAAATGCTTCCCGCTTGGCGGAGAAGCAGTAAATGGCTTTCGTCAGACAGGGAATCGAAACCACAACTTCCACATTCGAAGCAAGCACACTACCACAATACCACTTGGGTATCAGCTTCATAAAGATGGGTTCGTTATAGTCTTTTTGTCTATTTTTAGAAGTTCAAGAGGATTCACAAAGGCTGATGGACATGACGACTATCCGAATGTATAGGCCAAAGCTGCTTACCGAATTGAGCCACTATGAAAATCCAGCATTTGTACCTACAAAGTGTTGAAATGTGTACATGGACATATATTATTTTAATATGAACACTGTATTTAAGCTCGTATTGCATTTAACATGTAGCTTTAGCTCACCTGGCACAAAGTACCAGTGTGTGCTTTCCAATCACTTTGTGTTCGTCGTCTGTTAATTTTTACAAAAAAATTCTTCTCTAAAACTGCTATTTTAGCCTACCTTAACCACTATCATCATTGGGGAATTTTGTTTAAAAAATATGTCCGGTGATCCCGTTTCCCTCTAACATGGCCGACATGGCTAAAACTTTAAAGTGAAAACTCGCGAATTTTGACTAACCATTTAAATATTTCCATTCAATAGTTAAAAATTCATATGGTAAAGCAGAAACATATATATGTCTCTAGGTAAAGGCAGTTTTTTTTGTTGTTTTTTTTTCGAGTTTTGATATCAATTGATAGTTTTTGAGAAGAAATTCATTTTATTTTGTAGAAAAAATATCCGACGGCTATTTTAAACAAAGATACATAACACTGATATTGTTTTGACAACAAATCTTCGATTTCTGACCTTTTAATTCTAGGTAATATTTCCCCGTTTTGGCTGTAAATCTGTAACATAAAATATTGTCTCCCATGAAATATTGTCCGTCGGACAAAATTTCATATAAATTATTGTCTGCGGACACTATTTCATAATGAAATACTGTCCAAGACAATATTTTACTATGAAATAGTGTCCTTGTCCATGAAATTTTGTCACCTCCTTCTGGACAATATTTCACTATGAAATTCTGTCCATGACTATGGAAAGCCTCAGCTGTCATATATTAGATATTTACAAAACGTTATGCTGAAGCTTAAAATGTAAAGTTAAGACAGCGTGATGTTGAATTGAGTCATCAAAATGCTAAATCTAAATTACAATATGCTAAGTTGAATTTGCACAATGTTGACTTGCAATGACAAGTGCTTTAGTCGTGATAGTATAATGATAAGTCACGATGTTGTGATGATATGCCAAACACACGTAACGTTGGGTTTAAAGTACATGATGTGAAGTTGACGTTGCATGATGTTAGCTTGCAGATGGATACTGCTCAGTCATACAATTCGATAGCTATGATAACAAATAAAATGAATAGCTAAAATGTATGGTGCTGACATGTTATTAATAAATGTTGAGCTGAGAATGTACGATGTTATATCATTGTGATATTACGATAGGTCTATCATGCAATCTGTTGATTCAAAACACCATGATGCACAGTTGAAAGTACATGATGTTAAGTTAAGATAACACGATGCTACACTACTATATTGAAACGAAAGGCTTACCATACAATTTGTTGACTTAAAACAACACGATGCAACGTGTTAAGCTAAGATGCTCACTTGAAACTACACGACGTACAGTTGAAATTTTGTAATGTTGAGTTACGATAGTACGATTTTATATCATTATAATGTCACAATAGGCTTATTATACAATTTGCTCATTTAAAACTACACAACGTACAGTTGAAAGTACGTGATGTTAAGTTAAGATGGCACGTTGTTATATCATTAGAATGTCACGATAGGCTTACCACACGATATGCTCGTTTAAAACTACACGACGTACAGTTGAAAGTACGTGATGTTGAGCTATGATAGCAATATCTTATGTCATAATAATATCACGGTAGGCTTGCCATACAATATGCTTATTTAAAACTACACGACGTACAGTTGAAAGTACGTGTTGTTCAGCTAAGACAGCACGATGTTATATCATTATAATGTCACGATAGGCTTATTATATAATTTGCTCATTTTAAATTACACCACGTACAGCTGAAAGTGCGTGATGTTAAGCTAAGGTAGCACGTTTTCATATCATTAGAATGTCACGATAGGCTTACCACGCGATATGCTCATTTAAAACTACATGATTTTCAGTTGAAACTAGATGATGTTAAGCTAAGATAGCATGTTGTTATATCATTTGAATGTCACGATAGGCTTACCATACAATAAGCTCATTTAAATCTACACAACGTACAGTTGAAAGTATGTGATGTTGAGCTATGATAGCACGATGTTATATCATAATAATATCCCGATAGGCTTGCCATACACTATACTCATTCAAAACTACACGACGTACAGTTGAAAGTACGTGTTGTTGAGCTAAGATAGCACGATGTTATATCATTATGACGTCACGAGAGGCTTATCATACAATGTGTTGACTTGAAACTACACGATGTAAATTTGAAGTAGTTTGGTCTTGACTTGAAACAGTAAAATGTTAAGTTATAAAAACAGAAGGTAAAGTCAAAATAAAACAATGATAGGATGACATATACTTGTGCAGAGTTGAAGATTTTTGGTGTTGACTTCGAATATAGTACAAATATTAGCTCGGTTTATGTTAAATTGAAAGACAATAATGATGCGTAAAACATTACAGAATTATGTGAATTGAAACTGCAATTCTATGGAAAAGAATAAGGGACAAATCCCCAGGCAAAATGATATACAAAGAACGTTTTCCATAAATTCATAAAACAAATGAATTATCCATCGCTATGTATTACACTTGAATACAGTTTTGCCGTATATTTTACATGTTTTGTTTAGATTTTTTTTTTATGATTAAAAACCAGACTTTTTTTATGAACAATATTTAAGAAAATATTTATCTATGTTGTGTGTTAATATATACAACATTATATTGTGCTTATAAGACTTATGATTGTGAGGGTCAAATTTTACTCATATAAAATCACATCTATGAAAGAGTTATCGGAGAACTTGTATTTACCACTCCCGTATTCCCCCGAAATAAAACATAAAAATCTGGAGTCTTAATCTTAAAAAACAAAGATCAACTAATATGACAAATAATAAGGACTGAGAGGGTCAGAGGTATATGAGAATGTGACTCCCCCCCCCCCCCCCCCCCCCCCCCCCCCCCCCCCGGCCTTGTTAGAGGTATCTGAAAATTTGAATTTTCTTTTCCACGAAATCAAACAAAAAGAATTGATAGGTGGAAGAATCCTACTGCATGGGGCCAACCCAAATATAAAGTATGGTAGATTCTGTTGTATACTTTCCGCTTATACATGAAGTCTATATGAAACCTAATGAAATTTGACCTAGAGCCTCCAGTCTAAATCGTCAACTTTAAAAAAAACAAAACAAAAAAAAAACATCATTTACAGCAGTGCCAACCATTTTTCCAGCACCAAGTAAGATAGTGCCCAGGTTTATGTATATATCCACTCGGAGAATATTTCATTTTTTTTTAAATTGGTAAAGTCATTAATGGACAATGACTCCTATAACTTATAATAAGAAGCCAATAGACCAGTTTCACATAAGCGACTTATCAACCCTGCTCTCGAAATCAAATGCGCGTTTTAGTTTAAATCCCGCGATAATTAACGATATCATACGTGACAGGGGGCTAACTTACCCGAATAATTCGGTCGGTATATTCCGCTGATCTACGATTGCTTCATTAACGCAAGTAGGAGAGATCGATTACGGGGAGGGACTGAATCATTCGGGTTAGGGGCTATCCAATTTACCCTTATATTTGGCAGCACAATAATAAATACCGATAATACACATCTCTCTCTTGGTGTGTGCTGGAGGCAGGTAAACAGATGATACCAGTACACAGTATGTTTGTCACGGCGAACGTAGCTATTATGTATTGTACATATACAGGGATTTTAAACGTGTAGAAAGACATGCACATTAGATTTTTGTAACAAATGATGTAGTTTTTTTTTAATTTTTATTATACAGCTGTCATTACTTATATTGATTAACCAGCATGCGTTCATGTATACATTTACTTCCTCATTACATATTGTATTTCAACGCTCTAACATTTTGAGTGTCTCTAAGAACAGGTACTAGTAATTCAATTATATATTCTTTAGAACATGTTTTTGGTTTTATAAATAGAAAATGTGGACATATCCTTCGGACGTAGTACTAGTAAAATCCTTGTTATGTAAAAATTATCTATTTTCTTATTCTGATTAATAATGAATGAATTTACATTAAGATATCATTATCAGTAATTGAATATCCTGCTTTACCATAAAATAAGATCATAATTGCTGAATGACCCCCTCCTGAATTATTAAAATATATCTAGTTGCATTAACCGTAATATCTCAGTGTAAATTATGTACATGTATCTTATACAGAAACAGGGTTTACATTTTTAACATCTGTATTACAAAATGCAGGAAATAATTGTGTACAAAAGTTAAATAAATTTTTCGCGCAGCAAAAAAAGAAAAAGAATGCGTAGCAACTGGGACATTAAATCGTGATTGACAGTATAATATTCCCAGGTAGCAACAGATGACGATGAATATTCAATCCGAAAAAATTCTTCTGTCTTCCGTCAGAATATCATATGGTCGTCCCTTTTTCAGCAACTGTATGTAGAAAAGGGTACGTTTTTATCAATTGTCACCTGGTGGGATTGTACAAGGTAAAACTAGGATTCCACATGGCTAAGGTGTTAATTGACTTCTTAATTGATCAGTGACCTAATATATGGATATGAAGTGACCCCCGCTTATTTTTTCTATGTTATTCTTCCCGCTAAGTGAACGACCTCAGCGGGAATCCAAGCATTTCTTCGTGACAATTAAAGGTACAACGTCAGGCGTCATATTAGATCGTCTGTTACTCTACAACACAACAGTAGTCCGTTTAAAAATCTTTTAATGTGTCATCGTTAATAAAGTTGTCTCGTCAATATATATTTTGATTCAATTGTTGCTCGTGTACATATAAACGCAAACACTTAATCAGGTGATTATTTTTCCAGGTCTGCATGGTCACTGCTTACATCAACCGTAAGCCCCCAGTCGATGAATTCTCGGGAATTATCGCGTGATTTCACAGTTTGGCTAATTAGGTTAGACATGCGCAGTTAAATGTGAAACTGGTGTATTAATGATTTCCGTCACTTATTTTCTTGTCCATAGTGATTTTCTTGGTTCTTTGCAGCTTCTCTCTATCTATATGTGTTTTCAAAGAAAAAGAAAAAAATCAAAAATCTGTTAAAATTGTTAAAGTCCATGAATTATTTTGGTCTTGCTTTGATTAATTTGTAGATATGTTTTTTTTTTTATGTCAACAGTTTCTCTCTCTCTCTCTTATAGTTTTCATGAGTGTGGTCTAAATTAAAATCGGTACATTTTTTTTAATTATTTGCCAAAATGTAGTTTATTCTTTTTTGAAAAAACATAATAAAAAGTTTGGGCCACAGAGCATTTTGCAAGCTATACAGGTTATGCAGTATTGTCAGATTTTTTATAACTATACATGGAAAACTCAATGTTAGAAAAAAACAATAAAAATTGGGATCACGAGACTCGTTTTCTGTCTACAAAACAAAATAGATAAAGTCCCTACACATTTCATCATTAAAGACGAAATATGCCAAAGGGATTTCAAACTCATAAGTCGAAAACAGACTGACAATGCCATGGCAAAAAATTAAAAAAAAATAAAAAACGACAAAAGATAATGTTATCCGAGTTATCTCCCCTATATGGAAAAGTTGAAAAACATATGCAAAAAACGTTCTGTATTCAAAAACAAATAATCGTTTTAATCAGATAAATCATATAATTTTCTTCATCAAAATGAAAAGTACTACTGTAACATATGAATGACATTCCTCTCTCAAAATGTGTATATTTTTTTAGATCTAGACCGATTGTGTTGTGCTATATGAGAATCTAAGGGAGCTACCATGTGATTTTTAGGGAGGAGGGGAGGGCTAGGATGACAAATTTTGTCCTGCCTTTTTTTTTAGTTGTTATCTCTGTCCTGCCTTTTTATTTTTCACTCTATTCGGTCCTGCATTTTTTATTATTAGTTTATTCTGATTTTTTTTACATACATTGTCATCCTGCCTTTTTTTTGCCAAGTTTTCCTGTATTTTTTTAACTCAAAACTCCTGTCCTGCTTTTTTTTAAAATTTCATCCTAGCCCCCCAATAAAAATCAAATGGTAGCTCCCTAAGATTGCGGAAGACACCCGATCTACCCTAAGGGCAATATATCTAATGAGGAAGAAATTTACAATTTCGGTCACGTCGAGTTACTTGTAGATCTCCTTTTGTTGAAAAGGGTTTCTGTTTTCATTTATCTATCTATTATACTGTTCAGGGGGAGGGGAGAATGGAAAAAAAAATACACAAAAATGGACAAAAAGAAGGCGAAAGATACAAAAGGGATAATAAAACTATTAACCAAACTGACAATGTCATGACAAAAACTCATCTGCCGAAATAAACGAGAGAAAAAAAATAAAAAGCCAAACAACAGTATATTAAGCGCAACATATAGAAAATCAAAAACTGAGCAACACGAAACCCTAAAAAAAAGGGGTGATCTCAGGTGCTCCAGAAGGGTAAGCAGATCATGTTTCATATGTGGCACCCGTCACTTGGCGATTCTGCAAATAAAGAAGGAATGTGTTATAATTTTCGAGGAGCTCCCAAAAAACATGAATTACAGGGTGTCAAATCGATGAACGTGCTTAAAGTAGGCTCCTTTTCATAAAAAAGAATTGATGAAAATGTTTTAGTATTTAGTGTACAATGGCAATTATTACATGCATATAAGGACGAGAATATGTAAGTGTGATATGAATATGAATAAATCTTGGCTCTGTACAAGACATATTTTGCTTGCTTAGCTGAATTTTTAACAAACTAGTTGACAAAACGTCTCTGACAATCTATGGAAATCCAAATAGTATCGGTTTTGATTAAGTCCAGATTTTTTGGTTTTATTTCGGGGAAAAGGGGTGTGTTTTACGTACAGTGGCAAATATTACATGCATATCAGGACGAGAACATGTAAGTGTGATGTGAATATGAATAAACCCTGCTTTGTTACAAGACAATATACTTTACTTGCCTAGCCGAATTTTCAACGAACTAGTCGACAATCTATGGAAATCGTAATCGCATCGCTTTTGATTAAGTCCAGATTCTTTTGTTTTATTTCGTGGAAAAGAAAATTCAAATTTTCAGATACCTCTAACAAGATCGGGGGGGGGGGGGGGGGGGGTCACATTCTGAAATAGCTCTGACCCTCTCAGTCCTACGCTAAGCGTAAGATATTTGTCATATCAGTTGATCTTTGTTTTTAAAGATTCCAGATTCTTATGTTCTATTTCGGGGAAAACGGGAGTGGTAAATACAAATTCTCCGATAACTCTTACATAGATGTGATTTTATATAGGTAAAATTTGACTCTCACAGTCATAAGTCTTATAAGCACAATATTATGTTGTATATATTAACACACAACATAGATAAATATTTTCTTAAATATTGTTCATAAAAAAAGTCTGGTTTTTAATCATAAAAAAAAACATCCAAACAAAACATGTAAAATATACGGCAAAACTGTATTCAAGTGTAATATATAGCGATGGGTAATTCTTTTGCTTTATGAATTTATGGAAAACTTTCTTTGTATATAATTTTGCCTCCGGAGTTAAATTTCATTAATATTCATCAACTTGCAAATGATGAAGAAAAAATCCTGGGGATTTGTCCCTTATTCTTTTCCATAGAATTGCAGTTTCAATTCACATAATTCTGTAATGTTTTACGCATCATTATTGTCTTTCAATTTAACATAAAACGATCTAATATTTGTACTATATTCGAAGTCAACACCAAAAATCTTCAACTCTGCACAAGTATATGTCATCCTATCATTGTTTTATTTTGACTTTACCTTCTGTTTTTATAACTTAACATTTTACTGTTTCAAGTCAAGACCAAACTACTTCAAATTTACATCGTGTAGTTTCAAGTCAACACATTGTATGATAAGCCTCTCGTGACGTCATAATGATATAACATCGTGCTATCTTAGCTCAACAACACGTACTTTCAACTGTACGTCGTGTAGTTTTGAATGAGCATAGTGTATGGCAAGCCTATCGGGATATTATTATGATATAACATCGTGCTATCATAGCTCAACATCACATACTTTCAACTGTACGTTGTGTAGTTTTAAATGAGCATATTGTATGGTAAGCCTATCGTGACATTCAAATGATATAACAACATGCTATCTTAGCTTAA